GGACTTTAGCTGCTAGGCTATCATGCCGGGCCCATGTTCAGATTCCTAAAAATATATTTATTTATAAGCAGGATTACAAAGTGAGAGGGAGAAGTCTTCCATCTGCTGGTTTACTCCCCAAATGGCTGCAGTGGCCAGGTTGAGTCAAATGGAAGCTAGGAGCCAGGAATGTAAACCAGGGCTACCATGTGGGTGGCAGCAACCCAAGGTCATGGTCCATCTTCTGCTGCTTTTCCAGGCTCATGAGCAGAGAGCTGGATCAGAAGTAGAGCAGTCCTTAGGAGATAACCACACATGAGGCAGCAGCTTAATTGCTGTGTCCCTATGTTCAGAATTCTAACCCACATGTTTTGGCTTTGTGATTTTGAGTTGGGCCCATGGAAATCTTCAAGGAATGTATCTTATCTCTTTAGACACAAAGTTAATTATACTTAATTGGATTATATAGAATATATTGCCAGGATATTAAATGATGAAAAAGTTATGCTTGTATAGATCTGTTGATATGATAATATTCTAGAAATTACATGAAATTTAGAGAGGTTTGGTATTTCTGGTGGGACTTTATACCTGATTCATTATAATTTTATTTTATTTTTGATGATGTTTACATCATTGAGGTTTAAGGGAAAATAGGTGAGACCATTGTTTCCACACTTTCTTTTTCTTCTTCCTGTATCTTGGGGAAGCCACACCCACCCTCCCAGCTGCCTCATTACCTGGCGATGAGGCATGGCCGGCCACCCGATCTCATTCCAGGGGTGCTAACCTTGCAGGCAGGAGCTAAATGTGCTATGCCACAACACCAGCCCCAGGATGGAATACTTTTGTAAAAACCTACTGTGCAGTGAAAACAGGGTCGTCTCAGAAGTCGCTGAATTGTCATCCAAATGTAAATTGTGATTTCATATCTATTCTCATCCACAATCATTATAAATGTCCCTGGAACATTTACAATCAGAAAAGATGCTAAAAAATATAAGTACAGGTTTCTGACCAAAGTTCAATAGAACAAACCAAAAATTCCTAGAACTCTGAATTAAAAAGAACAGAATCATGAAACTGCTACTAGAGCTCAGACTGGACGAAGATTACACAATCAACTGGTAAAATCGGTGGGGTTGGCTTTTACTGAAAACATTAAAAAAATTTTTTTTAAAGAAAAGATTTATTTTATTGGAAAAATAGATTAACAGAGAGAAGGGGCCAAAGACAAAGATCTTCCATTCACTGGTTCACTCCCCAAGTGGCCGCAATGGCCCAAGATGAGCCAATCCAAAGCCAGGAGCCAGGAGCGTCTTCTGGGTCTCCCAAGCGGGTACACAGTCCCAAGGTGTTGAGCCATTCTCTGCTGTTTTTCTAGGCCATGAGCAGGGAGCTGAATAGGAAGTGGAGCAGCCAGGACACGAATCCAAGCCCATGTGGAATGCTGGCGGTTGCAAGGTGAGGATTTAGCCTCTGAGCCATTGTGCTGGGCCCTTCTTAACAGATGTTAAAACTTCAAAAGATTTGAAACTGTATTTCAAAAAACATAAGTCTCCCTTGGGAGTTTTCTCAATCTGGATGCCTACCTGGTTAATCAGCATTTTTAACCATGCTTATGCAAACAGTCAATGATGATAGGCCTGCTATTAGAGCATGACTGTTCACTGTTTTTTTAAGATACAAACTTGCATTACTGTATTCTTGTTGGTTTTAGACTACCTGCCTGTCAGAATCCTGCTGAAGTACAACGCCCAGTCAGGTAATGCCAACTCAGCACTTTTCCCATAGAGCTAGGAAAGCTGAACTTGACACTGAATTCTAGGTGACACTTAGCCTAAGAAACCTTCCTTCTAAAACCCCCTTGTGGCTCAGCAATGGCTGGCGAGATTCATGACACCGACTCTGAGTTGTCAATCATTCACACCTACGGTGGGTCCAGATCAGGCCAGGACAAGTTAATCTTAGCAATGAGGGACAAGCAACACCTACTCACAGGATGACTGATCAGCAACGTCTTCAAAGTAAGATGAATGTTTAAGGTAAATTGGGGCCACTGGGGTCCACCCTAAGCTACGATACTGAAAGCTGAAGGGTATTGAGAAGGGATTCTTCTATATGATTAACCGATCATAACGATCTTAAAAGACTCCATGACAGCCACAAGCACTGGACAGGGCCATAATTTCAAGAGGCGCTAACTAGTTAGCTATAGTATCAGCATCCTCACACCATATCCCAGGACATGTGTCTGGTACCCACACTGGCTAGAGTTGCCAGACCTGACAAAACCCTCCAGCTACATTGCACTCATAAACCAGGGATTAGGATTACGATTGACAGTCCTGCCTAAAAAAAAAAAAAAAAAAAAAAATCTGGGGGAAACTGAACTGTCACATGGTGTTTTTTGAGTAAAAATCTGGACATTGTCATCCAAAGCTGCCCGACTTGTCTGAACAGCAGACACCTGTGATGGGCTGCAGAAGACAAAGCAGGTCTCATGGGTAGCCCACCTCACTAGGAGCTGCCTCTCATAGGACCACAGGGACTTCCAACCACCTGGGGGAACACCACATCCAAGCACCCAGTAACCGCAATAGTACAGTAAAAATCCAGCGACCTTGTGTCTAGATCCCTCAGGAGAAGCGAGGCATGACAGTTTATGGGTTATTGAACAGGATATTCCAGTGTCCCTTTAGAGATTCCAGATCCAGAGTTCTTCATGGATGGAAACATTTTTCATGGATTAGGGAAATGAAAATGCAAAGTACAGAGCAGCGACCATCTGGGACACTTGCAAAGGGAGAACATGGCCATCAGGTGCATGGGCCCAAGAAGCTCAAGTCAGAAGCCTCCTCCATGTGGCATGCCTTAGGAGAGGTAAGAGAAGGAAGTTACCGTAAGTATGCTTTTCCTCTAGGTCATGCCTGCAGGGCTACTGAGAAGGACACAACATTGTCCTCCTTAAATACTAAGGTTCGTCCACTGAGGGAAGCAGTCCTCCAAACCACATGACTTCAAACATCCTCCCAGGCAAACAGGGAAATTTGTGCCTTCTATACAACAGGATGTATTAACAGCTCTGGAAGCTTTTTTTTGTAGCTCTCTAAGATATGCCCACCCTGATTCATGCTGCATCTGAAGCCACACTGAGCCTTGATCAGTAGTTCTAAGCCCTGGTTTGACACTGAAAGTCCCTGGGGACAAAATGCTAATCCCCCTGGTTTAAATTCTAGCTGTAGGAATATCAGCATATTGTTGCACTGAGAGTTGTTATGAAATCAGGAAAGACCTATATTGGACCTAGCTCTTCTATAACCTTGCTCTGCATGTCTTTGTATGTAGGGATTCAACCCTTTCCCACTTCCTAGTGCTGAGTCATGGTGAGCTTGCTGCTTGGTCATGATGAGGCAGGCAGTCCCAGCTTGGGCTAGATGATTTGTATTGAAAGCACTTGCAGCCTGGCATTCAAGGCACTAATTCTTGTTTAGGTTGCTGGGAGTTGTTGATACCCTAATGTCTATGGCTTGGGAAGAGAAAACTTAAAAAATATTTTTTCCCTTATTTATTCAAAAGATGGTGACAGGGCCCGGCGCGGTGGTGCAGTGCTTAAGGTTCTCGCCTTGCACTCCCGGGATCCCATATGGGCGCCGGTTCTATCCCAGCAGCCCCACTTCTCATCCAGCTCCCTGCCTGTGGCCCGGGAAAGCAGTCGAGGATGGCCCAAAGCTTTGGGACCCTGCACCCGCGTGGGAGACCCGGTAGAGGCTCCTGGCTTTGGATCGGCATAGCATCGACTGTTGTGCTCACTTGGGGAGTGAATCATCGGACGGAAGATCTTCCTCTCTGTCTCTCCTCTCTGTATATCCGCTTTTCCAATAAAAAATAATAAAAATAAAATCTTAAAAAAAAAAAAAAAGATGGTGACAGGCAGAAAAATCTTCCAGTGACTGGCTCATTCCCCAAATGGCCGCCAAGGGCAGGAGTTGGATCAGGTCTGCCAGGAGCCAGGAACTCCATCCCAGTGGTGGCAGGGGCACAGGCAGACACAGGGCTATCTTCCACTGCCTTCCCAGGAGCATTTGAAGGCAGCTGCTGGGGGTTCCAACTTGAACTCCAAGATTTATTATTTTTATTGGAAAAGCAGGTATATGCAGAAAAGGAGTGACACAAGATCCTCCCTCTGCTGGTTCACTCCCCAAGTAGCCACAAAGGCCAGAGCTGAGCCGATCTGAAGCTCTGAAGCCAGGAGCCCGGAGCTTCTTCCAAGTCTCCCATGGGGGTGCAGAGTCCCAAGGCTTTGGGCTGTCCTCGACTGCTTTCCCAGGCCACAAGCAAGGAGCTGAATGGGAACCTGCGCTCATATGGGCTCCTGGTGGTTGACAGGCAAAGATTTAGCCACTAGGTTATGCTGCCGGTCCCCACTCTTTATTTTTGCAGACCACAGAAGTTGTTCATTTGACCAACCCACTATTTCAACTTTTCTTTAAGGCCCAGCTTAAGGCGGGGCAGTTGTACTTAGAACTTTACTTTCTGGAATCCTGTCCCTAAGAGAAAACGACGGGGTCCAGGAATGAGCCTTGCAGGTGACACTTCCTCCCACCCCATACAAATCGGAAATCATCAACTCTTGAGAATAACAGGGAACAAAACTCCCTTCTCCCAGAAGCAGGATCCCAGGCAAACGCCCACTGTCTGGAGGGGCTACCCGTCCACTCCCACCTCACCCCACGCGCCTCCAGAAACCTCGGTCCGACCCAGTGCCGCGCGGGTTTCAGGGCGGAGGCGGCCCGGGGCTCGTAAGCAGCGGCAGGTGCGGTTGGCTCGCGACAGGCCAACAGGGAAGCGGCCCCGCCTCTCGGCGCGCGCCGCCCGGCCACGGGGAGCCCCAGCCCCGAGCGCGCGGCCCTGCCCCTCCCCATGCCGGAGGGTGCTTAGTCATTGTGAGGCTGCGCTAGCTCGGGGTCCGCGCCCCCGCTCGCCGCCGGGATCCGCCCCCGGCCGCCACTTCCGCGTGCATGGCCCCGCTGCCCTGGGCCCTGAGCGCGCGCACGGGGCCCGGCTGCCAGCGCTGGGCGCGCGCCTCCTCCCTCCGCCCGCCGCCTTTAAGTGGACCCGCCGCCTGGGCCCTGCGCACCTTCACCAGCGCCATGGCGTGCACCCCACGGGAGCGGCGTCCGCCGCCCGCCGGCGTCACCTCCTACGACTACCTGGTGATCGGGGGCGGCTCGGGCGGCTTGGCCAGCGCCCGCCGGGCGGCCGAGCTCGGCGCCAGGGCCGCGGTAGTGGAGAGCCACAAGCTGGGAGGCACTTGCGTAAGTACCAGGTCCCTTCCTGGCGCTGCTTCTCGTGCCCCGGGTTCTGCAGCGCGCGTCCCGCAGCCTCGCTTTCTGCGGGCCTCTCCTGGTCTCAGACTTTCTCCACCGCTGTTCCACACAGCTGGGGTTACGTGGGCTTTCGGCGCTGCGCCCGTCCCCTGCCTAGCCGGCGTCTGAGGCCAGAAGCCCACCAGGCGGTACAGGCCTGGGTCGATCAGAGCACAGGTGCAGTACGCAGAAAGGTATAGCTGGCTTAGTGTCACAGAACGCACCAGCATCAACTCTCCCCGTAGGGAAGCGGTGCATGTCATGCTTGATCGCGTGAAATTGCATGTGGGAAAATTTGCAGGATTAAGAGTGGCGTGAGGGTTGTAGATTCCCTGGCTGTCCTTCCATGCACCCACGAGGATTTATTGCAGTAATTCTCAACCTTGGTTGAACGCTCAAAATCACCCCAGGAGGTAAAAGTTCAACTTGTGCTATCAACCCTGGAGCGGTTAAGAAATGGCAAGCGACGTGAATTGCAGTGTGGCTGTGGGATTTTGCTTTTACTTACCTTAAGGTGGATTTCTATGCATCGATTTGAAAGGAGAGACTTAGAGAAAGGGCTCAGGGGAAGAGAGAGTGTGAGCGCTTCCATCCGTTTGGAGCTCCATGTAGGTCTCCCACGTAGGTGACAAGGGCACAGGTACCTGGGCCATCTTCCACTACCTCGCCAGGAGCTGGATGGGAAGCCTAGCACCTGGAACTCAAGGTTGGATACCTGCACCACAAGTGGCTGCTTGAGCCACTGCACCACTACACTGGCTCAGAACGAGGGTTCTAAGTCTTGATGCTGAAAAATGCTAATGTTTATATTCAGATTTGTTCAGTGGTTAAAAAAAAAATTGTTAGGCAAAGAACTTCTGTCTGTCGGCTCATCCCCCAACCCCAAAGCCCACCACAACAAGGGTCTAGGAGAGGCCAAAGTCGGAAGATAGGAACTCCATCTGGTTCTCCCGCATGGTTGATAGGAACCCAGTTACGTGAGCCTTCACTCCTCTGTGTTCACAAGGGAGTGAGGGGCTGCAGGCCAGGTGTTCCAGCTACATGCTTGGATGTGGCGCGTGGGTGTCTGCACTGGGCAGCTCGGCCTCTACAGCAGTGCCTGTCCGCCCTCGAATTCACCTCTTCATAATGTGACATGAAGGCTGTCCTCCCCCAGCTTTGATCTTTGCCTTATAGCTGAGGTTGTAGAGGAAGCACAGAATATCAGAGAAAGGGCAGGGCCTAATTTAGATTTGCTCAAGGACTGCAAGGTGTCCCCTGTGTAAGGAAAAATGGAGACTTGCCAAAACAAGACATTGTCTTGGTTCATTTCCATTGCTTGTATTGAGGCGGACAGAAACATTTGTTAAGATGAGAATCCCTTCTCTCAAGGAGTGGACTGTTTCTTTGAGAAGACAAAATATGGACAGTTAACCTCAAGAAAGAATGGTCTCAGTGGTACAAACCACCTAAGTAGGGCCGGTGTTGAGGCTCAATAGGCTAATGCTCCATCTTCAAGTACTAGCATTTCATGAGTGGTGGTTCATGTCCCAGCTGCTCCACTTCATGTCCAGCTCTCTCCTGTGACCTGGGAAAGCAGCAGAGGATAGCCCAAAACCTTGGGACCCTGCACACCCATGTGGGAGACCCAGAAGAGGCTCTTGGCTTTGGGTTGGCTCAGCTCTGGCCATTGCAGCCTTTTGGGGAATGAACTGGAAGATGGAAGATCTTTTATTTCTCCTCTCCATAAATCTGCCTTTGCAATGAAAATAAATAACTCTTGGAAAAAAAAAAAGAAAAAGACAACCACTAATGTAGCTCAGAGCAAAGCTGAATTTTCCTGTCTGCTCCGGGGATTTAAAGCTTCATAGAGCAGATAGTACCTTTCTGAACTTCGGATGTCATGAAATTAAATCTGATTGGAGCAAAGGGTGTCTTTTCAAGAAGGGAGAGATAGGAACTGGCAGCTAGATTGGGGTTACAGAAAAGCATGGGGGTGGGATTTCAGTCAGTGACATATCAGAGTGCCTGGTTTTGGATCCTGGCTCTGTCCCCAATTCCCACTTACTGTTGAATGCCCTGGGAAACATCGGGTTATATATGTGGGAGACCCATACTGGGTTTTTATTATTTATGAAAATATCCTTCTTGTTAAAAATGACAGAAAGTGAAATGTTTTATCAGTGGTTATAATGCTTTTTAAAAATGTACAAGGTGATGTTAATATTCCCACTTTTAAAAAGATTTATTTATTTGCAAGAATCACAGAAAGGGAAGGGGAGAGACACAAAGATCTTTGATCCACTAGTTTAGTCCCTAAATGGGCCAGGCCAAAGCCAGTTGCTAGAAGCTTCTCCCAGGTCAACCGCTTGGGTAGTAGGGCCCCAAACACATGGGTCATCTTCCACTGCATTCCCTGGTGCACTTACAGGGAGCTGGATCAGAAGTGGAGCAACCGGGACATGAACTGGCACCCACATGGGATCCTGGCAGTTGCAAGGTGAAGACTTAACCACTAGGCTGTTGTGCCAGGCCCTATCCTTCTTCTCCTTCTTCTTCTTATTATTATTTTAATAAAACTCTTGGCCTTCCAAGAGTGTCTGTCTGTTGTACCCACTTGCTCAGGCTCTCTGGCTCCCTGTGGAACTCCCTTTTCCAGTGAGTTTTTCCCTTCCTGTGATGTGAGAAGAACAGATGTTTATCTAGGAGATAAATGCAGATTCTCTTCAAAAGATGGACACGTGCAAATGGTGGAGCCCTGGGGAGGTGAAAGGCTTTGATGAAGACAGGAAAGGGGGCCTCCTGCGGGGTGTGTGTTGGAAGAGGAAGGGGCTCAGAGCTTGCTCGGGTTCCAGTTCTTACTTCTGATTCCTGCTTCCCGCTAATGTGCAGTCTGGGAGGTAGCAAGTGCTGGCCCAGGTCGCAGGCTCCTGCCACCCACAGGGGAGACCCGGATGGAGGTCTCGGCTCTTGGATTTGTGTTTCAAGGCTTCTCGCTTGTCTGTGTGTCTTTCAAATACATAAAAATAAATCTAAAAATTTTTAGTGGCAAGGGCCTGACACGGTAGCCTAGCATGCGCCAGGATCCCATATGGTGCTAGTTGTAATCCCAGCTGCTCCCCTTCCCATCCAGCTCCCTGCCTGTGGCCTAGAAAAGCAGTGGAGGATGGATCAGTTCAGCTCTGGCCATTGTGGCTGCTTGGGGAGTGAATCAATGGATGGAAGATCTTTCTGTCTCTCCTTCTCTCTGTATATCTGCCTTTCCAATAAAAATGCACATGCAAGAAACATGTGTGTCTGTGTGTCTGTGTCTCCACCTCCTTCTGTAATTCCACAAATTGAAAATTAAAACAAATTAAAAAAAATTTTTTAAAGTCACACGTCAGTGGCAGATTACTGCACAGTCTGCCTGAGGCTGGAATGAAGTGTGGCCTCTGGGAGTCTAGTGTATGCTGTGTGGGACCTTCCCAGGCAGACCTTGGACAGGATGGCTTCAGCAGTGGCCCTTCTGACCTCCTACCCCTTTGCCCTGGGGCTGCAGGGGCAAGTGTGTCCATGTTCCTGCTGCATGTTCTGATTCTCCTAAAAACCTCGCCAGCTTCCTGGCAGTAGGTGAGCTGCTCTCACCCAGGAGGGGTTGAGTGGTGGGGGTGGGCAGTGGCAGACTGTCCTGGACTGGGCTGCACGGTGCTGGCTGGACAGCCCCGTGGGACCTGGCGAGGTGTTAGAGAGATGCCTGGGAACCGGGCTGCTTGCTGGATTATTGTTGGTCTAAGCTGCACGCAGTGACTCAGCAAGGATTCAAGCATAACCTGGCTGGGGGCGATGGCGTGTACTTTGGTATTATGGTGTTTGCATCTCGATAAGGCTGAACACGCTCTTGTGTCTTTCACTTAAAGGAGCTCAGTGTAACCTGTTCCTTCAGCTTCAACCAGTATCTCTGGACCTCAGGGAGTCACCCTAGTTTGATTTGTGGGTTTAGGATTTTATAAAATGGTGTCCACTTCCTTCGTACCAAATAAGGGTTTGATCATGCAGGGTGCAGTTAGGTAGAGTATGTAAGCAGTGACTTGAAGACTGCCATCCTGCATCCAGCACCACTTTAAATACCTGCTCACCTGGTACTACCTTAGGTCCCCTAGATCGCGTTCCCCTTAAGACCCACTCACCTGAGTAAGCTTTGCACCATTTAGATTTGAACTGTGTTCTCCAGCTCGGTGCAGTAGCCTAGTGGCTGATGTCCTCACCTTGCATGCCCTGGATTCCATATCGTTGTGGGTTCGTATCCTGGCTGTTCCACTTCCCATCCATCCAGCTCCCTGTCTGTGGCCTGAAAAAGCAGTCAAGGATGACTCCAAAACCTTGGAACCCTGCACCTGTGTGGGAGACTCAGAAGAAGCTGCTGGTCCTGGCTCCTGGCTTTGGATCAGCTCAGCTCCAGCCATTGCGGCTAGCAGGGGAGCGAACCAGCGGATGGGATATCGTTCTCTCTGTCTCTCCTTCTTTCTGTAGATCTGCCTTTCCAATAAAAATACGTCTTTCAAAAATACATATTAAAAGAATAAATAAACTTTGTTTTCACCAATTTGCTGTACTTCATGAAGGCCTTACTGATCCCCTGAGGCATTTCTCCCTGCTGGGCACAGACACTTGCTTGTGCCAGTTCCACGACCCTGCACTCCCAATACTCATCTTTTAGCTAAATTGGTGCCTTTTTACTTTGTTCTGCCTCTGCCCGGTGGCTGCCTCTTGCGCTGAAATAAAGGTGTCACATATGGCTCTCTGGTTATGTCTGACATCTAGGTCTTGTGGAGAAAATAGCTAACAGAATAGGCAAACATTAGCGTGCACTTTACCTTTGATTTATGTAGTTGATTGTTTCGTTTGTTTTTGCACTGGTGTCAATGATACTGCCTCCTTTAAAACATTATCTACTTTTTTGAAATTCAGAGAGTTAGAGACGCTCACTGGTTCACTCCCCATATGGTCACAACACCCACAGGCCAAGCTGAGCTGATCTGAAGCCAAAAGCTACAAGTTTCTTCCAGGTTTCCCACGTGGGTGCAGGGTCCCAAGGAGTTGGGCCGTCCTCCATTACTTTTCCAGGCCACAAGCAGGAAGTTGGATGGGAAATGAAGCAACCTGGACGCAAATCGTTCCCCAAATGGGATGCAGCCACAACAGGTGGAAGATTAACCTGTTACAAAACTACACAGGCCCTAATTTGTCTTAAAAACCCGCTAAATTTATGAGTCCATAAAGAAGAAAAACTGTTTCTAAATCCCTCAGTGGTTTCTATTTTTGTTTTTTTTAATTTTGTAAAATGTACTTCAAAAAAAGCACAGAGAATATTTCTGGTCCAATCAGTCATGGTTAGTAGCCGTTTATTTACTGAGTTCACAGAAAACTAAATAAGCAGATACTTACTTTGGGGTGAAGCGGGTTAATCCACTGCTTGGGCTGTGCACTTCGCATGTCAGAGCACCTGCAAAGAAGACAGAGGAAGAAAACTGTAGGCAACCATGGTCGAGGGTGGCTGGAGGAAGCCAGGGTAAGAACATTGGCTCACTGTTCCATAAGCACAGTGACATCCTTGGCAGGAGCATGCGTACGCTCCCACCCTCCTGCCAGCATGGGCAATGTGAGGTTTTTACCGTGTCACCTAACTCTCACACTAACACACATTTGCCAAGTCTCTTATTATCCCCCTACCCACAGGTCCCTTAGTCTCAGGTCAGAGGGCACATCCTGAGACTGTGGGGCTTGCGTTCTCTGTGGTCCCTGGATGGAGTTAGGAGAGGAGAGCGAAGGAGAGGAGTTTGTCTCCCGCGTGAGGGTGACGTTAGAGTGGTGCCATGCTCCCTCTGGCTGGAGCTTGGAGCATCCAAGACGGGGTCTCGTTCCTCAACTAGCTAGCTGAGAGCAACCTGCCTGCTCACTGAGCCCCTTTTTATACTCGCCGGGGCTTTGTCTCCAGCTTCTCTTGTGTCTTCCCCCTCACAGATTAGTGAGTGGGGCTAAACATGATCCTGTCTTACACACCTTACAAGCCAGTCCTAGTTCACAAACAAGTCCTCATTTGCCTCTTAGCACCACTCCTTACTCTAAGTTACGTATATTTCACATGCAAGTTAAACACGTCAGTTACTATTGCAGACATTTGGATGGGAGGGCTACATTCAGAGGTTTTTTTTTTTTTTTTGTACGTTTTGTTATTATGCTCATCACAGTGACTCAGCGCACCTCTAATCCCTTCAAAGAGGCATCAGAGGTCAGGGGAGGAGTCACGGGCTTCCTTTCAACCCTTGCCCTGGGGCCCTGGCATGTGCTGCGCATTGCACAGCCGTGTGGAGGCCCTGCTGTCACAAGGTCGCAGCTTTCCCCTCTCTGGATGTCTGGCCCAAGACCCTTCATCTTGGGGATTAGTAGGGATTCTGCTGCTACCCCACGAGTGGGCATCATGCATGGCTCCAGGCCTCGCTCAGCTAGCCCAATAGGTTTATGGAAGGCAGGGACTAGGTCCATGGTGCTTTACCTGGCAGGATGCCTGGCACAAATGGGTGCTTAGTGCTCCTGAGGCAATAGATGGCTGGGCAGGTGGAAAAGCCAAAAAGGCAGAAATTTGTAAAAGTTAATCCATGAGACTGGCATTATGAAGCCGTGGGTAAAACTCCCACCTGCAACACCAGCATCCCTAATGGGTGCTGAGTCTAGTCCAGGCTGCTCCACATCCAGTCAAGCTTGCTGCTAACATCGCTGGGAAAGCAGCGGAATGTGGCTCAAAGTGCTTGGGTTCCTGCTACCCGTGTGGGACACTGATGGAACTCATGGCTTTAGCCTGGCCCAGCCTGGTTGTTGCAGCCATTTGGGGAGTGAATTAGCAGGTAGAATCTGTCTCTTGCTTCCTCTTACCCCTGTTTCTCCATTTCAGGTAAATAAGTTTTGTTTTGTTTTATTTTGAGTAAGTGCAAGTAGGCTTTTCGAATCACAGCACTCTGAACTGCTGTGTCTCTAATCCCATGGCTCAGCCTCAGGTCCTGCTTCTCCATCAGGCAATCCAGTTGAGTCTGGTCCTACTGCTGTAGCATCCCTGAGCCTGCTGCCCTGAAGCCAGTGAGGGCTAAGACACCTAGAAAACCCCTTATGAAAAAAGGCAACTGCCTGAATAGGCAAGTGCTGGAGGAAAAGGAAAAACAGCCAATAGCTGGCGGGCATTTAGTCCTGGTTAATGCCAAATCTGTGTTAACTTTACCAGAGTGGCAGCAAAAAAAATAAGTGAAAAAGCAACTCCAAGTTAGTCACAGCTCTGGCACCAGCACACATCAGACCATCTTGGCATTTAGAAGGAGCATCTTCTGACTTTTTAAAAAAGATTTATTTATTTTTATTGGAAAGGCAGATTTACAGAGAGAAGGAGAAAGATCTTCCATCCATGGTTCACTCCCCAAGTGGCCACAATGGCTGGAGCTGAGCCGATCCGAAGCCAGGTCCACTATGACAGTGCTTCACAGAGCATCCTTACACATGTGTTTTGGTCACAGGAGCCCCCGTCTGCAACTATTTCTGTAGGTTACATTGCTGGAAATAGAATAGTTTGGCCAAATGGTTTGTGCTCACTAATACTACTTACTGTCAATCTGCGGAGTTCTGGGTTACCTATCTGATAGATGGAAAGAATGTGATTTAGATGATCTTTTACCTTCTTTAAAAAGGTTTTTCCTAGTAAGTCTATTTTTTAAGAGGTGGAAGCAGAGGGTTCCCTTCTGCTGGTTCACTTCCTGAATACCTGTAACAGCTGGAACTGGAGCAGGCCAAAACCAGGAGCCTCAGTGCAGGTTCTGGTGTGGGTGACTGGGACCCCATACACAGGTGCCTGAGCCATTATGTGCTTGCAAGTGTGCACATCAACAGAAAGCTGGATGGGAAGCAGGATGAACAGGACTCAAACTAGGCACTGGCAGGGCTTGCGAGTGTCCCAAACAGTGGTAGCTGTGGCTCCACTCACTCACATCATAAAACAGCTCTTTTGTAAAGAAACTGTGGAAAGTAATCAACAGGGAATGAGCTGACGTGCCCACAAAATGCTATGTAAGGACGCCCACTGAAGCTTGTTCCACAGTTTCCTGAGAGGCACTGCTTGTCTATGTAGAGTTCTGTTCCTAAGAACCTGGTGAGCTTCGATTTGATAAAGCCTTGCAACCAACCACATTGCCCGTAGGCTGAGAGTCCTATTTCTGACCTATCGCTGGGACTAAAACTTGGCAGCCTGAATGACACCAACTGCTTTGGCCCACAAGAATGATGTTGGTTTCTAGTTGTTTGTTCAAAGTGGGTGTCTTGGGTGTTGAATCCAGAACCCATAGTAAATTTCACAGAAATGTTTGTTGAAATAGCAGTTTAAGAAATCTGATTGTTTTTGTTCTGCCTCATGTAAGGGAAATAATGTCCTTTTTTTTTTTTTCAAACTATAATAGAACTCTAAAGGTCTAGTTCACTGCGATGTACAATTCAAGACCTTTCTTGATGCTTAGAGCAGATTTCTTGCCAGCTTGTTTGATGATTTGAGTTTAATATTCTCACCATATTTCTTTTCTGTCCCTCCCCCAGGTGAATGTCGGATGCGTACCCAAAAAGGTAGAATTTTCATTTTTCTTTCCCTTCACATTCCATTTTCATATTTGACAAATCATTAAAGAATGTTTCTAAATGTATTAGTTAAAATTCTTTCTGCTATAAATGAGAATTCATCTAAAAGTGGTTTATGCGATAGGGTGATTTTTCTTGGTGGTTTTTAATATTCCTGAGATTTGCTTAGCGCTTAAGAAGATCTGACAGGGCCCTAGCTTTGCCCAGTTCTAGTTCTCCATCCTGCCATCCTAGGTATGCAATTAGTGGGAAGCCCACACGTGGCCACAGGTGGCCTCAGGAGCTCCAGGTTGGGTGTCTACAGGTGCCTTCAGGTGGCTTTCAGCCCTCCTGGTCAGGATTGAGCTATCCTGGCAGGGGAGACTGGACAAGCAAGTGGGAGAGACTGGACAAGCAAGTGGAAGAGACTGGACAAGCAAGTGGCCTTTTCAGCCAGGAAGAAGGGGAAGGATGGGATTGCTGGGGTGATAAGCACAGAAATATCAGCTCCTGGACCCTAAGCACGTCACATGGGCCCAAGGTACTGAGTTCTCATAGTGATGAGGTCCCAGTGGTAGGCAGGCACTGTGCAGAGGGTAAACCAGGAATAGGCCACAGTGATCTGAAGCTGCTCATGACCATGCAGGAACAAAGACCCCCAAGTACCTGTTCATGGCACGGAAGTGAAGCACCATCGTGTACACAGGGTGACTTTTTCTCAAGGGAGGTCCAGCCAGGAAGCCCAGTCTCAGCCTGCATGCTGACCTGAGCAGGTGGCAGGTGACTGCTGGCAGTGGGTGGATGCTCCTCTCTCTTACCCTGGCGAGTAACTCTGCAGGGTATTGCCTGTGTGTGTCTCCCACTGACAAACAAGTCAGTGTGGGATCCCACGGTGCTATGTTTATTAATGTGACAGTTAATTTGTGGTATTGATAAATCTTTCATATGAATCGAGAATTCAGCAGACTAAGTGGTTGATTCCATGTTACATGATTTCATCTGGAATAAAGAAATCTCACCTGAGTCATCAGTTGATTCAGCCAGGCCTAAAGAGCAAAAAGGACCAAGAAAGATTCCTAGGCTCTTCGAAAAGAGTCTCGAGCTTGTTTGACAAATGAAGTAGCTTGTCATTTGGAGTTCTCGATCATGATTCGGATGTAGCTATCTTGATCAGTTGGCACAAAAGGCCTTGACGGGTGTTAGGCTGTGTGCTATGAGGGAAGGACTCTTTTTTTTTTTCTGGGTGACTCATTACACATGTCCTTGGCAAGGCTTGTTCCTTGTGAATGCGTGGAGGGAATCTGTTTTCTTAACAGTTTGAGCCCAGCTGTATCTAATAGCTCCCTTCACAGCCACCTGCCTATAAAAGTGACCTGTGCAATGCCATCTCCTGAGCCTGAATCCAAGCAGGCTAGGCTCAGAGCAATGGGAAACCTAACACATGGATCATATGATGGTAAAAGTCAATTTTGCTACACTTCGGCAGCCTTGTGCTACAGTGTGTCTGTCAGATCTCTGGGCCTCCTCCCCGAATGTGTATAGTTCTGGGTTTCAGTTCAGAGTCAGTGTTGTAGTCTGCAGCTGCACACACAGTCACCAGTTTTCATGATTTCTGTCTTCACCGGGGCTGTCTTGGGTGCTGTTCTGCAGGTGATGTGGAACACGGCCATGCACTCAGAGTTCATGCACGATCATGTTGATTACGGCTTCCAGAGCTGCGAGGGCAAGTTCAACTGGCGGTGAGTGAATGCTCAGAGGGGTCAACCGGCCAATGTTGATAGCTTTCTTTCATAACTAAGTAAGCTGTATGCCTTTTCCGGGAGGCAGGTAGAGGTATATTATCGCTTAGATTCCACACAGTGGAAAAAGTTGCCATTTAACCAGTTTGAAGTGTACAATTCAGTGGCATGAAATATAATCATAGTGCTGTTCAGCCCACATCACTGTCCATTTTCAGAACTTTCCCACCAATTAAAGAGTAGCTCCTCATTTTTTCCCCTCCCACTAGCTTTGTATACCTCAATTCTACTCTTTCTTCCTGAATTTGATTACTGTGAGTGCTTCATGCTTAGTCTTGTTGTTGTTGTTAAGAAAGCTGGAGCCAGCAGCCTCACCCAGGCATTCTAATAGGCAATGCAGGCATTTTAGCATCTTTACTAGGTCAATCACCTGCTCTAGGATTGCACTTTTTTCTTTTAGATTGATTTATTTTTATTGGAAAGGTAGATTTTACACAGAGGAGGAGAGACAAAGATCTTCCATCTGCTGGATCCTCTGCTAATGGCCACAATGGCTGGAGCTGAACTGATCCAAAGCCAGGAACCAGGGGCTTCTTTCAGGTCCCCCACTTATGTGCAGGGTCCCAAGATGTTGGGCCAGCCTCCGTTGCTTTCCTAGGCAAAGCAGGAAGTTAGATGGGAAGTGGAGCAGCCAGAACATGAACTAGTGCCCATATAGGATCCTGGCGCTGCTGGTGGACGATTAGGCTGTTGAGCCACTGCACCAACCCCTGTACTTCTCAGTTTTAATGTGGTTTATTTCTCTTAGCATAACATGCTCCAGGACTTCATTGTAAAGCGCCATTGTCCCACATTTGTTTATCTGCCCTTCTGTCAGGCTCCTGAGTGCCTCCACCTCTTAGCTACCATAAATATTGTAGCTACAAACATCAGTGCACAGACACCTGTTCAAGTGCCTGCTTTTGGTTCTGCACGTGGAGGTGGGATTGCTTCCCGTGATAGCTCTAGGTTGAGCTTTTTAATAAACTATCATAAACTTTTTGAAGCCCTCCATTTTTCAAAGAATCATAGCAAGCTCCTTCATTTATTCCACAAGTGGGCACCACATACTAAGCTCCTTGTCAAAGTGGTCCTCCTCTTTGTTCTACCTAAAGAGTTTTCCATGCCATGGCCATCAGCCATCACCCAAGAGCTCCCAGCAGGGTGGCCGAAGGATTTGCAGGATGTCGGGGGCAGCTGGCTACCAGGGAAGGGCTGAGAGTCTTCCTAGAAGGTCCCTTGCTCAGTTTCTGCTGGCATTCAGTGATTCTGCTTGGGTTATCTGGGATCACCCACCCTCACTCCTAACCTAAGGAGTAAAGTCCTGTGGCTGAGCACTGCTTTGTTTCCTCACAGGGTCATAAAGGAGAAGCGGGATGCCTACGTGAGCCGCCTGAACACCATCTATCAGAACAACCTCACCAAGGTAAGAGTGTGGGCTGGGTCTTGAACTTTAAGAAGCAGCTGTTGACCACTGGACTGCATAGCCAAGTTCGTGTGGCCTCACAAAAAGGTGGTTGGTGGTTCTGCCTTGTCGCTTCTGTAGTTACGGTTGCAGTTAATGATTGTGCAAGGGCCTCTGCTCTCCCAGAGCCAGGCTGTTTTCCTGCAGTGTAAGCCACCTGCATGTCAAAGTCCACAGAGCAGGTCTAGCCTGCTGGTGGCAGCTTGTGGCCCTCTAGCTGTCTTCAGGCCTCAGACACTAAAGATTGCACTGTACAGCCAGGGGCCAGTGTGTTGGATAGAATCGGGGGCACTAGGAAGAGGCATTGGGCCTAATGGTGAAGACAGCCATGTCCCCACATAGGTGTGCCTGGCTTTGAGACCCAGCCCTGCTCCTGTTTCCAGCTTCCTGCTAAGGTGCACTCTGGGAGGCAGTGGTTGAGTTCCTGGCTTGGCATTCATTTGCTCAGAACAGCCTCTGTGTTGACTAGACCTGCACAGAAGACCAGAGTAGGGTCCAGATGAATGGTTTTGTGCATAAGTCCAGTCAAGAAGAGCAAGTGGAGGTTTAGCTACAGCAGCCAGCTGTGGAGCTTCATGCTCTGGCAGCTTCTGTCACCTTAGTACCTTCCCCACCCAGAACCACACTGACGGATGACGTGTTGTCCGTATCTCTTTCTCTCTGATTTTCTAATCAGGTTCTGTCCCACTTTACTTTGTCTTTACAGTTTCTAAGATTTCTCCATAGCTTACGTTACAACAGGTCAGTTGGCTTTTGATGATATTGCAGCCAGCACAGTCTCACGTAATCCAGTTTGTAGGGTGAGTTACTTCTACAGTTGGCTAACTTCATAGACTTGTATCTTGGCGCTTACCATTCATTGGATGGGTGTTGGAGGATATTTTCTGATTCTAAGCCCTCATCTGAGAGCAAAGCCTTTAGGGACCTGCAATGCTTCATGCATGATGGCAAGGGACTTCTAAGGCTGCCACACGTGCACAGTCAGGGCCAGCACTGTGGCACAGCAGCTTAAGCTGCTACCTGAATTGCCAACATATAGGGGCACCAGTTCAAGTTCTGGCTGCACCACTTGTGATCCAGCTCCCTGCTAATGGTCTTGCAAAGCAGTGGATGATATGATATGATCCAAGTGTGGGCTTCTGTACCCACATTGGAGACCCAGATAAAGCTCCCAGCTCCTGGCTTCAGCCTGGCTCAGCCCTGCCATTTCAGCCATTTGAGAAGTAACCCAGCTGATGGCAGCTCTCTCTCTGTCTGTCTCTCTGTTTCTGCCTCTGTCTCTCTCTAACTCTGGTGGACAAACTCTGCATGGGAAGGGAACGTTGTATCTTTTATTCTTGAAACCAAAAATAAAAAATTCGGTCATTTCTTCCCTTGGATTATTTTCTGTACTGTCGTCACTCCACCCACAGGCATTTTGTCTGGCACCAGACAGGAAATCATAACCTCCCGAAGCAAGGTTGTTCTGGAAGATTGTGGCTTTTGGCATCAATATTGACTCAGCTTGATGATGCCAGGCACCTGCAGGAACAGGCCCAAGGGGGTGGTTGAGAGAGAGAGAGATAACTCAATTGAGAAGCAAGCCTGTTGTGAGATGTCAAAGCATTCCACTCCACAGTCCTCAGGGGATTCCATTATCCTTGCACCTTGTCCGCGTTGGCGTGCCAGTGCACATTTCTTGGCTGGCAGACACCTGCTGGGTGTCTGAGGTCGTGGAACCAAGGATGCCAGTTAGAGCAGATCACAATCTGATTTCTCAATCTGTAAATCAGAATTTTTTGATATTGATGCTTATCCCGTTGTGATAATCAAAACAGGAGCCAGGTATCCTCCTCCATCCACCAGAGTATTTCTCTTTTGCCTCTACTCTTTTTTTTTTTAAAGTTAAAAAAGTTATCTTTTTCCAATAATTTATCTGAAAGGTAGAGTTATAGAGACGGGGAGGAAGACACAGGTCTTGCATTTGCTTCTTTACTCCCCATGTGGCCAACTGGCCAGCCAAGACTGGACCAAGCTGAAGTCAGGCCCTACATCCATCCAAGGGTCTCTCATGGGTGATTGGGGCCCAAGTACTAAGGTCACCCCCAGTGCTTCTCAGGAACATTGACAGGGAGCTGGACTGGAAGTGGAGCAGCTAGGGCTTAAACTGGTGCTCCTGTGAGATGGCTGTATTTCAGGCAGCAATGAATGCACTGTGCTGTAGCGCCATCCCCTAGCTGTTTACTGGAGAGCCAGGGGAGATCATTCCCAGCTGCCAGCTTCACTCTCATGTGCCTGTAATGGTCCCCAGGGGCCCAATCCAGGATCTGGGAACTCAGTCCACGTCTCCCCATGTGTGTGCTACCCATCTATTATGGCTGCTTCCAGGGCCTGAATGAGCAGAAAGCAGAGAGGAGCAGGTGGCATTGAGACTCCAGCCCAGGCACACTGGTTGGGGACGCATGCATCTTCCCTGGGGTCTTCACCTCTGAGTCTAATACCCTTCTCTACTCCGTCATGTGCACGTCAGTCCTGGCCCCTCCTCCAGACACATCACTTTCCTCCACTGCAAGTGTAGAAGACTTTCTCCCTCAACTCTGGGGTCCAAGATGTCATCTTTTCCCTTGTGCAGGTGACTTACATGTGTTTTTGGAGGTCTCAGTTTTGTTCCAGAGTGGTACCTTTATTTTTCATAGTGTCTATTGGTGACCCCAACCTGAGGATCAGGGACCAGTCCATAGTTCTAACTCAAGCAGCAGAGCCCGCCAATCAGAAATCATAATCTTCAATTGAGGTGTAGGGGGCTGGCATTGGGCACAATGGGTTAAGCCACTGCCCGTGCAGTGCCAATGAGACCCTTCTGATCCAGCTCCCTGCTAACATACCTGGGAAGGCAGCAGATCTTGGTCCGAGTACTTGGGTCCATGCCATCCCTGAGAGAGACCTGGGTAGCATTTTAGGCTCCGGCTGTTGAAGCCATTTCGGGGATGAGCATCTTCAATAGAGAAATGAAATAGCTGATGAACTGTCGCGGGTGTTTTTAAGAACGGACTAATGTTGTCCTGGTTCCTTCTCCAGTCCAATATAGATATCATCCATGGCTACGCAGCATTCACCAATGACCCTGAACCCACAATAGAGGTCAATGGAAAAAAATACACTGCCCGTCATATCCTGATCGCCACGGGGGGTGTGCCCACGGTTCCGCACGAGAGCCAGATCCCTGGTGAGTCTCTCCGAGCCTAAGAAGCGCCGCTGCACGACAGCCAGAGCGTTGACTGGTGGTTTCGACCGTACACGCCAATGCCGGAAGTCTACCCCTTCACCTCTCTCTCTCGAAAAAGACTGTGGCAGAGGCCTGTGGACCCTAGCTGCAGTTGGCCAAGTGGTAGGGATTGATAGGGCAAGAAGGATGTTCCCTGCAGTCCCATGGTCAGAAGCCCTACAGGTAACAGGAAGCAAAATCAGCCGAGGGCCTCCGTTCTCCTCGGCCTGGCAGAGCTGACTTCCGGCTTCTGTTGGCCAGTGGCTTTTTGTTTTTCAAAGAATCATTCTGTATTTAATGTTTAAGGAAAAGAAATGTTTAATTTAATGTTTAAGGAAAAGCTGTGCCAGGAAGCTTTCCTTACTTGCGTATTTTTCTTCGTGTAGAAGATTATAGAAAATTGAAGCAGCGAGGAGTCTCACACAGGATCGTGTCTACCTGTTCATGCTTTTGTCCCCATGGGGACTGAGCCCCGGGATGAGTTGTGAACCAGTGAGCTTACTTTCCCAAAGCAAACACCATCCATCTCTTTCCCCCCAGCCGCAAGACAAGGGTTCTGAGGGTGGGGAACATGGTTTGTATATCCTTTGTATTCTCATGAATTGAATTTTATTTGTTTTTAAGTATTCCACAGCAACTTTTAAAAAAGTTTTATTTTAAAAACGTTTATTTATTTTTATTGCAAAGTCAGATATAAAGAGAGGAGAGACAGAGAGGAAGACCTTCTGTCTGTTGATTCACTCCCCAAGCGGCTGTAATCTACTTGCTGTGTCGATCCTAAGCTGGGAGCCCAGGGCCTCTTCCAGGTCTCCCATGCGGGTGCAGGGTCTCAAGGCTTTGGGCCGTCCTAGACTGCCCTCCCAGGCCACAAGCGGGGAGCTGGATAGGAAGTGGGGCTGCTGGGGTTAGACCCAGTGCCCTTATGGGATCCCGGTGCATTTTAAGGTGAGGATTTTAGCCACTAGGCTACCGCACCAGGCTCATAAAAATAAACTTTTTAAAGCAGATGAAAGACCTTTCTCTCTGACTCTCCTCTCTGTAAATCTGACTTTCCAATAAAAATAAATTTAAGAAAAAAGTTTTATTTGAAAGCCAGATTTACAGAGAGAAGCAGAGTGAGAGAGATTTCATCCATTGGTTCACTCGCAAAGGCCAGAGCTGAGCCAGTCTGAAACCAGGAGTCGAGAGCTTCTTCCCAGCCTCCCACACAGGTGCAGGGTCCCAAGGACTTGGGCCGTCCTGAACTGCTTTCCCAGGTGCATTAGCAGGAAATTAAATCGAAAGTGAAGGAGCCAAATCTTATTTATTTATTTATTTATTGGAAAGTCAGATATACAGAGAGGAGGAGAGACAGAGAGGAAGATCTTCAGTCCAATGATTCACTCCCCAAGTGAGCGCAACGGCCGATGCTATGCCGAGCCAAAGCCAGGATCCAGGAACTTCTGGATATTCCACACGGGTGCAGGGTCCCAAAGCTTTGGGCCATCCTTGACTGCTTTCCCAGGCCACAGGCAGGGAGCTGGATGGGAAGTGGAGCTGCCGGGATTAGAACCGGCACCCATATGGGATCCTGACGCATTCAAGGTGAGGACTTTAGCTGTTAGGTCATGCCGCTGGGCCCGAAGGAGCCAAATCTTGAACCACTGCCCAAGTGGAATGTTGGCACTGCACTCAACGATCTCGCGCCAGCCCCTCGAGACATTTACAAGCAGTCTCTGCCACCTCTGAAATGAGAACATGGCATGTAATTACAGGGCTGGGAGTAGGTCACGTGCAGATGTTCAGTAACTGATGAGCTACGGTTTGAGGGACGCCCGAGGCTCAGTTAGTGGAAGAAGGTGTTGTTTTTATGAACAAGGAAATTTGAGAGTGTGGTATGAAGTTTGAGTTCATTAGGGCTGAATGTCCCTAATCTGAAGTTCAAAACCTGAAATACTTAAAAACCTAGAACTTTCTGAGCACCGCAGTGGCCAGGGCTAGACCAGGGCCTGGAACTCCATCACAGTCTTACACGTGGATGACGGGGGTCCGGGTGTTTGGACGCGCTTCACTGTTTCTCAGGTACATTAGCTAGATTGCAGGCAGAGCAGCCAGAAATTGAGCTGGTTTTCAGTATCATGGGCAGTGACTTGACCCACCATACCACAACTGGCCCTTTTGTTCGGTTTTTGTTTTTAAGATTTGTTGTTGTTGTTTATTTGGAAGGCAGTTTCAGAGAGAAAGGGAGGTCAGGGAGAGCGAGCTTCCTACATGACCATCATAGTCTGGGCCAGGCCAAAGCCGGGAGCCAGGAACTCCATCTGGGTCTTCAGCATGGATGACAAGGACCAAGGTACCTAGATGTTCTTCTGCTGCTTTCCCAGGCATGTTAGCAGGATAAGTGGAGCAGCAGGGACTTGAACTGGTGTCCATCTAGAATGCCAAAATTGTAAGCGGAGGCTTAACGGGCTACACCACAATGAAAGCCTGTCAAGGAAATATCTAAAAATTGTATAAGATTATCTTCAAGCTATGTATATGTGGTATACACAAAATACAAGTGAATTCATGCTTAAGCTTCAGTACTAACCTTGAAATAACTTCATTATGGGGTCCCAGTTCAATGGCTCCACTAGCTAATCCTCTCTAAGTGCCAGCATCCCATATAGGTACCAGTTCCTGTCCCACTTGCTCTGCTTCCCATCTAGCTTCCTGCTTGTGGCCTGGGAAAGCAGTGGAGGATGACTCAAAGCCTTGGGACCCTGCACTGTGTGGGAGACCTGGAAGAAGCTCCTGGCTCCTGGTTTTGGATCAACTCAGCTCCAGCCATCGTGGCCATTTGGGGAGTGAACCAGCAGATGGAAGATCTTTTTCTCTCTCCTTCTCTCTGTAAATCTGCTTTTTCAGTAAAAAAAATAGAAGGTTTTTTTTTTTTTTTTAAGAAAAAGCTTCATTCTTATATACAAATATCCCAAAATCCAGAAAAAAAAATTGGAAACACTTGTGGTTCCTACCATTTTAGATACGAGATCTGCAGCCTGCATTGAGTTGGAGGCAGAGTAGAATTGTGTGGTGCAACAGTTGGAAATATGGAACCAGAGCTTTGGATAGTGGGGGTGGGGGCTGTCACACACCTGGAGTATGCACTTGGAGGTTTTCCACAAGGAGGCTCGAAGCCTGGAAGGAAAAAGCAGAGAGGGGAGGGCGTAGGTCACACTGGGGGTGGGGATCCAATGGGCAAGGCAGGGCCAGTGCATAGAGTTCCCCAAAACCGAGGCATGTGGGGGTTACTCGGCTGGCACTGCTCGTCCCTTGTCAAAGCACAGGGTGCACTGGCTGACAAAGCGTGCACTTGTTGCATAAAAAAAGAGCATGTAGCAAGGGAGAGGCCAGTCTTGTGTGATCTGTTTGTGTTTTTCTACACAGGCGCCAACCTGGGGATCACCAGTGATGGGTTTTTTCAGCTAGAAGAGCTGCCCAGGTGAGCCGAGCTGCTTGCTTCCTCCTGCCACAGTCTCCTCACGGTGCTGCTTCTCCTGCCCTTGCTTAAGTCATTTCTCCCGGCTCTGACCTTTCCATGACCTTGGAAATCCCAGCCGTATGTGGGCTCCTCAGTAGATCTCTCAGATCTTTCATGCTGTGGTTTTGGGGCCACTGCAGTGTGTTTGCTTTTTTAAAAGTCTTTATTATTACTATTATTCATTTATTTGGAAGTCAGAGTTCAGAAAGAGTCAGAGAGAGGTCTTCCATCCACTGGTTTACTCCTCAAATGATCACATCAGCTAGTGCTGGGCTCTAGCTGGGGTGCTTTGAAACTGGGAGCCAGGAACTTCTTCTGGGTCTCCCACTTAGGGGCAACGGTCCTACCACTTGGGCCATCCTCTGCTTTCTGAGGCACATTACCAGGGATCTGGATTGGAGGTAGAGCCATCTGGGTCTGGACCCAGTGCCCGTTTGGGATGCCAGTGCTGCAGGTGGCAGATTTACATGCTATACTACAGCGTCACCTGCACTGTGATGGTTTTTTAAGCCAAATTGAAATACCCAGGGCAGATTTCAGGAGTGGGTAGTATGGCCCTGAAACTGTCTTCTGTCCAGTATGATAGGGCATCAGTCGGTGATGTGTCCAGAGTAACTGAACCTGTGTTGTTCAGAATGGTGGGTGATCACTGTCATCTGGGTACCCTCCTGCTGTAGGCTGGGGTTCTTAGAGAGAAAAAAAGAGAATGAGGACCATGGTTGCCGTGCTTGGAAAGTGCTGTACTGTAGGTTGGCTAGGCTGAGGGGGTGCTTCCCTCCTCCATGGTGAGCGATGAGCCCTAGGAACAGGAGGAGGATTCAGGGCTGGAGCTGTCCCTCTCCCCCGCCCCGGTCTCCTCCCAAGTATCTAGGAGTGGCTGTTGCTCACGTTTGCTCCTCCCCATGCCATTTGAGGTCCTAACCCTGTGCTTTTGCAAGGGTTTTCAGGGAGGGAGACATCCATGGTTCTGGTGTTCCCTGGCTGTAGCCAGGGCCCAGCCAGCTAGCAGAGCTGAGAAGGGCTGCCCAGCACACGCACACCACCAGGGGAATTGTCCCACAAAGACGGGAAGAGCAGGGCATCTTCTGACTTGAGAGAGGTTTACCATCGGTCTGACAGCCTACCTTGCCCCCTGCCCTGTTGGGAGGGTTGATGATGTAACACACGTGGGCCAGCATCAAGGAACGGGATCCTGACCCTTCATGTTCAACCAACACAATTCCACCTAAGCACACTGTGGCAGCACGCTCTGATAGGTTTCTTCCCGTTTGATGTTCTTAAGTTGTTTGTCAAATGTTGGTGCATAACAAGCTGAATGTGAATGTAGGTATGTCATTGAGCAAAGAGACTAGAATGTGGGACAATGAATGAACAATCAGTAGGTGATTTTTCTTAAAATTTTCTTACTTATTTGAAAGTTTCTCTCTATATGTAGATATCTATAGATATCTATATAGAGAGATATATGTATAGATATATATATATAGATAGATATATGTATAGATAGAGAGAGCACACGCAAGAGATCTTTTATCCACTGGTTCATAAGCAAGGAGGTGGATTAGAAGGGCAGTCAGTGTTCTGGACTCACACTGGCACTCATATGGGCTGCTGATGGCACAGGCAAAGGTTTTACCTACTCCAATACAGTGCCGGCCCCGATAGGTGATTTTTCTTTTCTTGTCAGACTCCTTCTTCATTGTTGCAGTGTGGCTGCATAAGCAAATAATGAGGGAAAGGATGAGTTCTGTGGGCGGGGCACCACAAGCTGGGCACCATGTGATTCCCTTTGAGCCCCGGAGCGCTTCTGGCTGGGTGGAGGGTGCTGATGACTTCAGTATTGCCAGCAGTTCTGAGGGCCCGGATGGGGCAAGAAGAGGCGCCTTCTGGGCATGGCAGGGGGGAAGTCATTGTCGGTAGACACTTTGTGGTCAGTGATGTGGTGAGAGCACCCAGATGGAGCTGAGGGGCAACAGGGCTCCCTGCTGTTCTATGGAGAAGCCATAGCGTTCAGTGCTGGGTTTCTGGGTGCCCCTTCTGCCTGCCTGCTCCCTGAAACGCTTCCTGACCTGACTCCCTGGGGGGGCTCCACCTTAGCAGTTGCTCTTGGACATGAAAACATTCAGGCTTTGCAGAACATCACCCCACCTCTGCTGTGGCAGTGTGTGAACAGAATTGGAATGGAAGGTGACGTGCAATTGAGAAAACAAGAAATGAGACAAACATCAAAATATAGACTATAAAAGTGGGGCAGGCAGAGGGAACCCCCCCTCTCTGAGGAAGGAAGTCAACCTAGAGGGGTCACTGCCTCAACCCTTCGTTGAACTGCTCTGGGAGTCAAACTACAGACACTGAGGTGGCACAATTCTGTATAGCCATGTCCCCTGTTGATGCTTACTAGTTGATGCTTGATGAACAGGAAGCAAGCACAGGAGCCAAGGATATCTTTTTTTAAAGATTTATTTATTTTTATCGCAAAGTCAGATATACAGAGAGAAGGTGAGACAGAAAGATCTTCCGTCGAATGATTCACTCCCCAAGTGACCGCAACAGCCGGTACTGTGCCGATCCGAAGCCTGGAACCAGGAGCTCTTTTGGGTTTCCCACACAGGAGCAGGATCCCAAGGCTTTGGGCTGTCCTCAACTGCTTTCCCAGGCCACAGGCAGGGAGCTGGATGGGAAGTGGAGCCGCCGGGATTAGAACTGCGACCATATGGGAGCCTAGCGAGTTTAAGGCTAGGACTTTAGCCACTAGGCCACGGTGCCAGGCCCAGTCAAGGATATCTTTAAAGATACAGTTCTTTGGCTTTGGACCATGGTCCAATTGCGAGCCCTCACCTACAGGCTTTAACTTCGGTCTTGGACTTTCATCCACTCATGGAGTTTGATCTCCATCTCTGGCACCGCAAGTCTGTAAAGTCAAGATTCCAGGCACAGTGTGTCTGCTCTTCCTTATCAAGGCACACTGTTGGTTTTGGCCAACTGCCATAGCAGTCCCTTCTCAGGGATCTGCAGGGGTGTGCCCTGAGGCCCCGGGCCAGTGTGGAAGCAAACCCCACCCCAGGGCCAGAATCCTCTGCACTTTCTACTCAAACCTTGCTGCAAGGGGAGGAACTGGTGGCCAAAATGTACTCCGTGAGTTTTATCTGTGTGCACACTAGCCTGCAGGTTGGAATGGTTGGCTCTGGTGGCCCTCTGGGTGATGTTGCACAAGTTGACAGAGCTGATTGAGGGGACACACCGAGCACAGGAGCAGGAAGCTGCTAGGCACCACCGTCCCGGTTTGAGTTTTAGGCACAACCTTCATTACAGCCACACCTCCAGTTTCAAAAGTGTGTGTTTCCACTCAGGAGAAATGAGGCCAAGGCAGCCCTAAAGTAACACATATCTCCTCTCTACAAAGACAAGTTTTCTGCTTCAAATGGCATCCCGGAGAAGACTCTAGGGGAATAGTAACCTGTTGACATTTGACAGCTAGCTTAAGTCACCAGGGTAGCAGTGTCAGTGTCCCTGGTGTGACAGACCCCGTGGAGATGGAAGATGCTAGCTGCAGTGAGAACCGAGCCCCAGGCTGCAGGGATGCACCCGCACTGCCTTCTTAACTCAGGGCATCTGAAAGGGCTCCAAGAGGAGTCCCCGTAACAGTGTGAGTGTGTGCTTTTCCCCAGGCGGAGCGTCATTGTGGGAGCCGGTTACATTGCTGTGGAGATCGCCGGAATCTTCTCAGCCCTGGGTTCCAAGACGTCCCTGATGATCCGGCAGGATAAGGTAAATTCCATCCTTGGTCCCTCTCTGTCCTGCATGCTAGCTGGCTTCTTTTTAAAACTGAGAGGTGGGGGCGGAGATCTCTTATGATGTTATCATTACGTACTGAATCGAAAAGCAGGTCAGCTGGCATCTGAGTCCCGTGTGTCCCCTCCCAGCAGCTAGGAGATAACAGTTTTGAAGTGATCAAACCAGCTAATGTTTTCATAGATGGTTTAGCAGCTACCCTAATACAGAGGAGGTATACCTACATACAAATACTAAACATACTGTCAGGTTAATTTCTTCTCTTAAAAAAGTAAGTTTTATAGGCTCAGCACTATGACTCAATGGCTAAATCCTCACCTTGCAAGTGCCAGGATCCCATATGGGCGCCAGTTTGTATCCTGGCTGCTCCACTCCCCACCCAGCTCCCTGCTTGTGGCCTAGGAAAGCAGTAAAGGATCGCCCAAGGTCTTGGGACCCTGCACCCTTGTGGGAGACCCAGAAGAAGCTTTTGGCTCCTGGCTTTGGATTGGCTTAGCTCTGAACATTTTGCCATTTGGACAGTGAGTTAGTGAATAGAAGACTTCTTTCCCTCTCTCTGTAAATCTGATCTGCCTTTCCAATAAAAATACATATTTAAAAAATTTTTACTTGTTTTTATTGGGAAGGCAGTTACAGAGCTGAGCTCATGTGAAGTGAGGAGACAGAAGTTTCCTCTGGGTCACCCGCATGCATATAGGGGCCCAAGGCTTGGACCATGCTCCGCTACCTGCCCAGGCCATCAGCAGGGAACTGAATGGGAAGTGGAGCAGCTGGGACATAAACTGTTGCATCCACTCAACCACTAAAACAGAATGTTACATTCACCAGTGACAGTCACAACAAAAGTTTATTATAAATGAGAGGCAAGGCAACCAGCTGACCGACCCACCAATCAGCCAGCCAGGACCAGCACCCCTTACCAAAGTGTGGCCCCGAGTAGTACAATTACAAAGTTTTTATACGGGGCAGTTGGCCACAGCTTCAAGGGGGGCCACAATTTACAACAGCTCGGGAGGTGAGTGAGGAAGGATTACATATCCCTTGCTTATCTCAGGTTGCCAGCCCCTGCCTGCTCTCCTCAGGACTGGGCTCCAATTTTGACATCACCTGTGACAAGCAGACCCCAATCTTGAATTATCAATGGGTTAATAATGCTGGGGCCTTGATTTATGGGGATTGAGGCCATTGGCACTAAAGCTTGTGTTGGCCATAAGGTCTGTAGGCTCACACAGTTTGTTAGCCAAGCAAGTAAAGCAGAAGTTACAAAAAGCAAAAAGAATTGCAGTTAGCAATGAACTATGTTTACTCCATTTTGATTTCAACTCTACAAAACCAGCACCTATATGGGATCCTGTTGCTTTCAGGCAGAGAAATTAACTGCATTGTAGTCTGTAAATGGTTATTCCATTGCACTGACCCCAGGGTACTTTTTAATGGTGGAACCCAATTCCCCATGAGCAGGTAGTATTGAATTGTTAGCACTCAGTCGAAAACCTTCACTGAATCTTTGTGCTAAAAGGAATTTTAAAGATGAACCACTTGAATTTTATTTGAGAGGCAAGAGAGAGAGAGAGCTCCTATCTGCTAGTTTACTCCTCAAAGGCCCACAGCAGCTGGGGCTTGAGCAGGCTGAATCTGGAAGCTGGGAACTCCATGCAGGACTTTCATGGGAGTGCCAGGAGCCTAATGACGTGAGCCATCACCTGCTGCCTCCCAGGGCCGGCACCTTAGCAGGAAGCTAGAATCAGAGTGGAGCCAGGACTTCTACCCAGGAATTCCAGCATGTGATGCGGTTGTCCAAGCAGGATCTTTACCACTAAGCCACATGCCTGCCCCTTTGGACTTCATTTTGTCAATAAAGCAATGCAAACCAAGTGAAGTTTTGTGACTGCTATAGTCAAAACCAGGAAATTACATTGTGGCATAGCAACATAAGTTGTAGCTTTCATAGCTACCCTCCAATATGGGAGCACCATGGAGAGTCCCAGCTGCTCTGCACCCAGCCCAACGCCCTACTTGCGTGGTGCCTGGGAGAGACCAGCAGCAGATGGTTCAGGTGCTTGGGCCATTGACATCCATGTGGGAGACTTGGATGAAGTTCCAGGCTCCTGGCTGTAGCCTGGCTCAGCCCAACCATTACAGCCGCTTGGGAATGAACCAGTAGATGAAAGATCTCTAACTGTGTCCTGCCCTCCCACTTCTCTGTGTGTCTATATATGTGTGTGTGGCTCTGCCTTTCAAATAAACAAATAAATCTTTTTTTAAAAAGTCACTGAAAGTTAATGGAATGTGTATTATGAGGGAAAAAAATACATGGATTTCAAGTTTTTTTCTGCCAAAGCTTTTTTAAGTTAAAAAAAATTTTTTTTTTAATATGCTAGAGTTCCCATCCACTGCTTCATGCTGCAGATACCTGTGATGGACACACAGAGAGTGGAGCCAGGAACTTCATGTAGGGCTCTTGCATGGGAAGCAGCTACCTAATATATGAGCCATCAGAACTGCCCCCCAGGGTCTGCGCTGGCAGGATGCTGGAATCAGGAGCCAAGGACAAGGAATCAAACCTAGGCAGTGGGGGCTAGCACTGTGACCTAATGTGTAAATCCGTCACCAGCAGTGCCAGCATTCTATATGGGTGCTGGTTCAAGTCCCAGCTGCTCCACTTCCCATCCAGCTCCCTGCTAAATGAGTCTGGGAAAGCAGCAGTTAATGGTCCAACTTCTTTGGCTCCTGTGCCCCTGTGGGAGATCCAGAAGAAGCTCTTGACTTTGACCTGTGCCTACTCCAACCATTGTGGCCATTTGGGGAGTGGACCAACAGCTGGAAGACACCCCTCCCCAACACCTCTCTTTCTCTGTAGCTGCCTTTCTAATTTAAAACAAAATAAAAACAAAAAACAAAAACAAAAATAGGCACTCCGATCTGGGACATGAGCATGGTAAGCACTGTTTTTTGGTGGTGGTAGTGATTGTTTGCTTGTATTATGTGGGTGTGTGTGTGTTTTGTTTGGTTGGTTTTGTTTTTTTTTTTTTTTTACAATTTGTTATTTGAAAGGCAAAATTACAGAGGGAGAAATAGAGAGATCTTCCATAGATTGGTTACTTTCCACATGGCCACCATAGCCTGAGCTGGCCTAGGCCAAAGCCAGGCGCTTCTTCTGGGTCTGCCACATGGGTATAGAGGCCCAAGCACTTGGACCATTTTCTGTTGCTTTCCCAGGTGAGTTAGCAGGCAGATGAACTAGAAGTAGAGCAGGTAGGACTCACCTGGTGCCCAAGTGAGATGCTGGCGTTGCAGGCAGCAACTTAATCCATTGCTCCACCTGTCCCTTAGCCACTAGACCAAATCCTCACCTCCACACTCTCTTGTTTTAAAATTTTTATCCACTAAAGCCTTTGAAATTTTTTTGTTTATTTTATTTATTTGAAACATGGGGAAAGAGTTCTTCCATCCCCTTGTTTTCTCCCAAATGCCCACAATGGCCAAGCTAAGCCACACCAGAGCAAGAAGTAGAAAGTCCTTCGAGGTCTCCATGTGGATAACAGGGACCCAAGTACTTGGGTCCTCACCTGCTGCCTCTCAGGGTGCATAGTAAGAACAAGCTGATATGTGAATGCAGCTGGGACTGGTACCCAGGCAGTCTGATATGGAGGGTGGACATTCCAATTGGTATATTAATCACTATATCCAAGACCTGGCCCAAAACTTGTGGAGCCTGGCACAGTGGCAGCCAAACCAAGCTTCCACATGGGATGCCAACATCCCATAGGGGAGACAGTTCAAGTCCTGGCTGTTCCACTTCCCGTTCAGCTCCCTGCTTATGTCCTGAGAAAGCAGCAGAGGGTGGTTCAAGTCCTTTGTTCCCTGCACCCACATGCGAAACCCAGAAGAAGCTCCAGGTTCCCAGCTTCAGGTTGGTCCCACTGCAGCCATTGTAGTCATTTGGGGAGTGAACCAGAAGATGGAAAACGGAAAACTTCTTTCTGTCTCTCCTCTCTCTCTAAAATCTGCATTTCAAATAAAAATAAATAGATGTTTTAAAAAAGAACATACCCTTACCTTGTAATTCCATTTCCACGAACTTTTCGAAATTCCCCGGTGTCTTGTTGATGAGGCCTCTGGCAGCACCGCATTAGAGCTTTTGGAATTGTGAATGCTGGCCCAAGGGTATGGTCCTGCTGCTGACTGGCTCCCGGAAACATGTGACTCGAGCAGGCCACATCATGCCATGAGCAGGGACAGGATTGGTCAGACTCCTGCGCCCTTGACTGCTGTGACTCTAGTGTTTACTTGAGCAAATGACAGAAAACGGGAGATGCTGGCAGTCCTTGTTGGTGTGGGTTCCCAGGAGTTGCATCCTTGACTTTGAAATGTATCCTGTCATTGACACCCAGGAGATTTTCATTCTGAACGGAGTTCTCCATCGAAAAATGTTCTGTTGCTTTGCTGGACTATTCCCCACGAATAGGGGATGGCCAGCCTGAACTTAGGAAGTCAGCGTGTTTGCAGTAGTATATGTCTGGAGCATGGCTGGCTCCTGTGCTTAGAAAGTGGGCCTGTTTGCAGAGAGCCACACAGAGGCCTCCTACCTCTCCGGTTCTCTCCCAGCACAAAGATAACTCCTGCCTCTTCGTTCAGTCTGTTCTAGAATTGCTGTGTGGTTTTTTTACAGCCTCCTGCCTTAACACCCTGTCCAGGGTGTGCTGCATGTGGGCTGGCAAAGTCCTGACAGGCTGTGCTGTATGTCTGGCTCCATAAACAAGTTTTTGATCTAGGTAGTAAAAGTTGGACATGACTTTCCTCCCTGAAGTTCCACGAAAGAGAAGCAAGCCACAGGAAGAGGTGAATACAGATACCTGGGCTGCCAGTCCCTCTAAAGCAGGAGTTGATGAAGTCACGTGTGTACTGTGGACATGAGTGGCAGTGTCGGGAAGTGAGGCATTTCTGAGAACTCTCCGTGGCTAGCCTGTGATCAGCCGTGACTCCTTTCTCACTGCCCTCTCCTCGGCTGCCCTTTGTGCACAGGTGCTGAGGAATTTTGATTCTCTCATCAGTTCCAACTGTACCGAAGAGCTGGAGAATGCCGGCATAGAAGTCCTCAAGTACTGCCAGGTACGTGGGCCATGTCCTGGACACCATGCAGTCTTTCTTCCTCCCTCTGTGGCCTCCTCCAGCAGTGATGGGGACGCAACACCTGGGTCTACCCAGACAGTGCCTCCTGCTTCCTAGCGTTTCCGCCTCTTTCTCCTAAGCTGTATTCCACTTGATTATGTGAAGGAAATCAAGAAGTAAGATTAGAAATCTGTGGGTTGGTGCTGTGCTGTAGCACGTTAAGCCTCCACTATAGCGCCGACATCCCAGGGGGTGCCAGTTCATGTCCCAGCTGCTCCACTTCTTTTTTTTTTTTTTTTTTTAAGATTTATTTTTATTATTTTTTTTATTGGAAAGGCAGATATACAGAGAGGAGAGACAGAGAGGAAGATCTTCCATCCGATGATTCACTCCCCAAGTGAGCGCAACGGCCGATGCTATGCCAATCCGAAGCCAGGAGCCTCTTCCGGGTCTCCCACGCGGGTGCAGGGTCCCAAAGCTTTGGGCCGTCCTCGACTGCTTTCCCGGGCCACAGGCAGGGAGTTGGAAGGGAAGCAGGGCTGCCGGGATTAGAACCGGCGCCCATGTGGGAACCCCGGGCGTGCAAGGCGAGGACCTTTAACCACTTGCGCCACTGCGCCGGGCCCCAGCTGCTCCACTTCTGATCCAGCTCCCTGCTAATGCTCTTGGGTACACAGCAGAGGAGAGCCCAAGTGCATCCACCTGGAGACCCAGAAGTTCCTTGCTTTTATCTAGCCCAGGCCCTTGCTGTTGCAGCTGTTTGGGCTGTGAACCAACAGTGGGAAGATCTTTCTCTGCCTTTTCTTCTCTTTCTAGTAAATCAATCATGTTTTAAAAAATTAAAAACCTGGTAGTGAATTTAGAATTTAAGCTTTGATTTTTGTGCTCAGATGCCTTGTTGCATGACCTTACTTTTTTTTATTATTTTTATTTATTTTAAGGAAATGTAGACTCTAAAATAATTTCTTTTTAACTTAATGAAGAGAGAGTTCCCTTCTGTTAGTTCATTCCTTGCAGATGACTGCCGTGGCTGATATGAGCTAGGCCAAAGCTAAGAGGAATATGAGCCAGTTCTCCAACTAGAGTGGCAGGAACCCAGCCACCTGAACTACTACCAATGCCTCTCAGGATGTGTGCGTTATCAGCAAGCTGGCAACAGGAGCCCAAGCCAGGCCTTGAACACATGCCTCCGATAGGGGGTGCAGGTGTTCTTACCCCTCAGCTAGATGCCCACTCCAGAATCTATATGTAAAGTACGCCCATTTGAGCTAGGCAGGTGGAAAGAATTTCAGCGTACTTTAACTCCTCAGGGAATCACTTGAGTTTCCTAAGAAATAGAGCAAGAATTAGCCTTCTAAACTATTTCCCCTACAACTTGGTTCAACATAGACTTCGTGAAGCATAAGGATAAATGTGACCATAGGTTGTGACGGCAACGTTGCAAGACTGGTGGTTGGGGTATAGTCAGAATCGCCGTAGGGGGTCCTATGAGTGGCTCAGTGGCTAAATCCTCGCCTTGAATCTGCTGGAATCCCATATGAACGCTAGTTCATGTTCCAGCTGCTCCACTTCCCACCCAGCTCCGTTTGTGGCCCGAGAACGCAGTCGAAGACAGTCCAAAGCCTTTGGCCTCTGCACGGGCATGGGAGATGAAATATCTTTCTCTCCGTCTCTCCTTCTCTCTGTAAATCTAACTTTCTAATAAAAAGAAATAAATGCAAAAAAAAAAAAAAAAAAAGAATCACCATAGGACTTTCACTAAACTTCAAAGCTCATCCTTACTCCACTCATTTCCATGAAGAATGGCCAGGGAGAGAGAAGTGGTTACAGCTGAGAAGTTACTGCTGGGAAGTGATTACTGCTGGAAAGTTTTCTGGCGATGCTGTTGCTGTGTTTATGTGAGTGTCATTAAGTTCTATTCAGATATTTATGGAGCACACTTTAAAAGAACTGGATTGAGAATCAAGGTGGCAGAATAAGGTGAGAACATGTTTAATCAAACAGAAACATTAGCCAGGGTGAAGCAGAGAGGGCACATTCTAGGAAATAGGAGAAGACAGGCCATTGGCAGAGGGCACCTGGAGACCAATGGACACGGGAAAGCAGTGAAAACAACAGGGTGGTGTTGCGGTGACCAGACGTTGCAGTAGCATTCAACCAGTGGTGATCTGAACTGATCTGAACTGCACCTGCAGCTGGAACTCCACCATCGACCAAGTGGGGGAAAGGGAGTTCACCGGGAACCGAGGAAGTAAACCCCAAGAACTGCCCATCCTGCTGGTTTGTTTGATTTGACCAGGAGAAGAGACAAAGCAGCAGATCCCAAATAGGTGGTACAGGAATAGGGTGAATTTCACAGGCCAAACCCCCAAAAAGAGCCAAACTGGGTACCGTTATGTGTAGGGAAGCAAAGACTGATGGACAGGACTGCACATGCACAAAGCTGGGAGTGAACTCATTTCTGGCTCAGTGGTTTGCAATGACATGGCATCCTACAGGTTCCTCACAAGATAAATCTGGGTAGCCCTCGGACCTAATGGCCAGCAGATCAAGAACTCCACGAGTGACACATCAGGCACCATTTTGTATAGTGTGGCAAAGGCTTTGAGACTGCAGGGACAACAGTGAGCTGCACATGCGCTGACCTGAGCTCAGTGCATTCTACTGGTCCCACATCGAAAAACAATACCAAGTCTGGCATCATATGGGTCAAAATAGGTCCATGTTGCCCTCAGACCTAACAGCCAGCAGGTTCCCGGCAAGATCAGTACCACCAACCTAGCTATTCAGGACACCTGATGTCTCCCTAATCCTTGGAACTGAGCAAATCAGAAGTAAGAAAAATGGTGTGCAGACAACAGTGCAGCAACAGCATGGGATCACAGAAGGTGGAGAGTGGTGAGCCAGGAGCTGGAGCTATAGAGACAGTGGCAAAAATCTAACATAAAAGTCCAAATCTGAAACTCACTAGAGTGAGTGGCACAAGTGACTGCAAACAAAGAACAGTGTACTAACCACAAAAGTAGACCTGTGGATGACACAGCTTAGAAACCTGCCCTAAGGAGAAGAATTTGCTAACCAAAAGTATAATGACCAAGAGCAAAAGAGGAGGCAAAGGCACAATGAATATTACTGAAGACTCCTCTGCAAAGGAGCAAAAGCCTTTGCCAACCTCAGAGCTCACTGAGGAGTACATTGAGAAAATGGGGGATACAGAATTCAAAACACTTGTTGTATAGCTTCTTATCAACTATGAGAAGCACATGCAGGAATTTAAAGACTTCATCACACAAGAAATAGCAACACTGAAATAAAATCAAACTGAATTATTGGAAATGAAGGACACAATAGGCCAGGAGCCTGGAACTCAATTTAAGTCTTCCACGGGGGTAGCAGGGACCCAAGTGTATGAGCCCTCACCTCCCTTTCGGGGTTTGCATTAGCAGGGAGCTGGAGTTGGAAGGAGAGCCAGACTCAAACTAAACATGCTGAAAATACTTTTGCTTTTTTTTTTTTTTAAGATTTATTTTTATTATTTTTTTTATTGGAAAGGCGGATATACAGAGAGGAAGATCTTCCGTCCGATGATTCACTCCCCAAGTGAGCGCAACGGCCAATACTATGCCGGTCCGAAGCCAGGAGCCTCTTCCAGGTCTCCCACGTGGGTGCAGGGTCCCAAAGCTTTGGGCCGTCCTCGACTGCTTTCCCAGGCCACAGGCAGGGAGCTGGAAGGGAAGCGGGGCTGCCAGGATAGAACCGGCGCCCATATGGGATCCCGGGCGTGCAAGGCGAGGACCTTAACCACTGCGCCACCGCGCCGGGCCCTTTTTTTTTTTTTTTAAGATTTATTTATTTATTGGAAAGCCAGATGTACAGAGAGGAGGAGAGACAGAGAGGAAGATCTTCTGTCCAATGATTCACTCCCCAAGTGACTGCAACGGCCGATGCTATGCCAATCCAAAGCCAGGATCCAGGAACTTCTTCCAGGTCTCCCATGCGGGTGCAGGGTCCCAAGGCCTTGGGCCGCCCTCGACTGCTTTCCCAGGCCACAAGCAGGGAGCTGGATGGGAAGTGAAACTGCTGGGATTAGAACCAGTGCCCATATGGGATCCCGGCATGTTCAAGACAAGGACTTTAGCTGCTAGGCCACGCCGCTGGGCCCACTTTTGCTTTTTTTTTTTTTTTTTTTTAAAGCAGAATCCTTACGAGGGCAGCAGCTGGCATTCCTGGCTGTCAGCTGGGTAGAAGATTGGGGGCGACCCAGGAAGCAGGCTTGGCCCAGGGAGGTCTAGGGTCAGCCGCGTTGGGATCATAGTGTGGATGCCATGTCAGCATACAGATTGCAGTGGGCATTTTTGTTTTAACATTAAAGTTGTAATTTCCTGTGTCTGTCACACATTTGTAACAATTTCTTTTGGCCACCAGGTTAAGGAAGTTAAACAGACTTCCTCGGGCTTGGAAATCTCCACAGTCACTGCGGTTCCTGGTCGGAAACCCACCTCTGCTGTCATTCCAGATGTTGACTGCCTGCTCTGGGCCATTGGGCGGGACCCAAATTCCAGGGGCCTGAACTTAAAGAACGTGGTAAGCTGGTGCAGTCCGCTTCCAACCTTCTTGTATCCTGTGTTTGCCCATCATCCCCCCGCACACACATGCCCAAAATTTGGATGGGTTCTGGTGGATTCTTTTCTCCTTAGTTTCTATATCCAGTTGGTTGTGAAATCCCATTACCACAGCCTTTGAAATGACAACACCTTAACACAGATCCCTCCCACCTCTGATCTATTTCTCTGGATGCTGTGAGTCTGGGGACACTTGGTAGCTACCCCTCTCTCAGCCCAGCATTGCTTACAGACAGTTAATATTCCTATTTGTCCTTTTCCATTTTGAAATGAAGCCTGGGACGAGGTACCCAGAGTTTGAGCCTTCATTATGTAACTTGCCAGTTACAATGGCCTTGAACAAGCTAGCTTAGTTTCTTGAAGGTTGTGTTTGCTTTACAGACAAGGTAAAAAGAGTCCCCTTTGATGTTAAGGTGTACTCACATTGTGCAAACTGAATGGCAGCTGTGTGCTGGGGCCTGTCCACCCCTGATGCTAATGTGGCTTCGCCTGGCCAGCAGCTTGAGGAGAGCAGGGGCTCAAGTACGTCGACTCGCTCATCAGGCTGGGACCTGGGTGGTAGGGAGCATGTCTGTCCACTTCCCTGCTGTTGCCCAGTGGCTGGATTCAGTAATAAATATATTACTTTTAGTATCTATGTAAAAGCTCAAACATGTGTTGATAAATAGTGGTTCTATAATGTTTCCTAGCCATTAAACGATAAAACTGGGATTTGAACTCTGTTCTGTCTGGCTCCAAAGGTGGTACTCTTTTCTTTTGAAAAATTAATTCGTTAATTGGGCCCGGTGCAGTAGCCTAGTGGCTAAAGTCCTTGCCTTGAATGAACCAGGATCCCATATGGGCACTGGTTCGTGTTCTGGCTGCTCCATTTCCCTTCCAGCTCCCTACTTGTGGCTGGGAAAGCAGAGGAGGATGGCCCAACGCCTCGGTCCCCTGCACCCGTGTGGGAGACCTGGAAGAGGTTCCTGGCTTCAGATTGGTTCAGCTCTGGCTATTGTGACCAGTTGGGAAGTGAACCAGCAGATGGAAAATTTTTCTCTCTGTTTTTCTTCCTTTCTGTAAAACCTGCCTTTCAATAAAAATAAATAAAATCTTTAAGTAAAAAAAACACATTCATTACTTTTCATTCGACATGAAAGGCAGAGAGAGAGAGAGAGAGGCACACACACGCCCAGACAGACAGTGACCTCCCAGACACCGATTCCTTCCCCTAATGCCCAGAATAGCCAGGGCTGAAGCCCAGAACTCCCTCCAGGCCTGCCACGCGTGCTGCCATCTGCTGCTTCCCAGGGCAGAGCAGCCAGGCCTGAAGCCAGACACGCTGTCTGCGATGAGGCATCCCAGGGAGTGGCTTACCCAGTGTGCTGTGCACTTGTCTGCTGCGTGCCTGCCTTCGCACCCTGCATCACGTGCTGCTGTCACCTGAGACCCAGGCGCCTGCTCTGTCAGGCTTGATGGGGCCTCCTTTTGCATTTTCAGGGGATTCAGACTGATGACAAGGGTCACATCATAGTGGATGAGTTCCAGAACACCAGCATCAAAGGCATCTACGCAGTCGGCGATGTGTGTGGGAAAGCCCTTCTGACCCCAGGTAGGAGGGGCGCTGCGTGGGACATAAACCGTAAAGCTTGACCTAGTCGGCTGCACCTGGACAAAGTAGAGGGATGTGTGTCTTCAGGGTAGCAAAGTGGGTGTCAGTTTGCTGCCTGGCACTTTTTGAGTGATACTCCATTCTGCTTAAAATGTTTTGTGTAGACAAAAAGCTCTGTCCAGTTGACATGATGCCCCTCTGACAAACGGTATGTTAGGACTAGGTTTGTGTATAGTATAGTGAGAGGGAGGGAGGAGGTTTTGGAAGAAGCAGGTGAGGTTGACATTCTTGGGTGACTATGGTCCTGACACAGCCACAATAGACTTCCTGCCCTCCCCAGTCCAGTCTGCACCTGCTTCCCCAGTTAGGCTCCCCGTCCCACCTCCATCGATAATGTCACATCATCTGCTGTCCGCCTGTGAGACCTCCCCTGCCTTCTCCAAATGTTCTGGGATCTTACCCCAGGGAGGAAGCCCACCCAAAGCCCTTTAGCGCCTTTAGAAAGTTCTTTGTCTCTATTTTTAAATTAATTATGTAATTAAATAAAAATTTGATGTGTTTATGGTATATGACATGTTTAGAAGTAGTTGTATATTGCAGAATGCCTAAATTAAGCTCATTAGTAGCTACCTTACCTGATTCATTCCTATTTTGATGAGAAAACTTAGAATCTACTTTTTTTAGTAATTTTAAAGAATACCAAATGTTATCGTTAACTATAGTCATCATGTTGTATAATAGATCTCTTGAACTTGTCATGTCTAATGCAAGTTTTGTATCCTTTGACAAGAAATGATTTTAAATGCTAAGTAGCAAGTGAAAGTTATGCCAAAGCAAATTTTTGTGTCCTACTGACCATCTTATTTGGAGGAAAAACTGACATCTTGTAATTAATAAAAGCAATAACTTGCTTTTATTAAACTCAGATTTATGTATTTATAAAAAAGAGCTATTAGGAATATAAACGCTAAAGAATAATTTTTAAAAGACTTATTAATCTTGAAGATAAGTTATAGAGAGAGGGATAGACGAGAAAGATTGATCTTCCATTTTTAGTATATGTGCTGCCGAAGCGAGCACAAGATTGATCTTCCATATGCTGATTCACTACACTAGATGGCCACAGAGGTCAGGGTTGGGCCAGGCCAAAACCTAAACTCCATCCAGGTCACCCACGTGCGTGGCAGGAGCCCAAGCACTTGGGTCGTCCTCTGCTGCTTTCCCAGGCCACAAGCAGGGAGCTGAACGGGAAGTGGAGCAGCTGGGATTGTGACTCATACTCCTACAAGGGTTATTGGCTTAACTCACAGTGTTACAACACTGGCCCCAGGAGAATAAACTTTTTTTTTTTAAAGATTTATTTTTATTATTTTTTTTATTGGAAAGGCGGATATACAGAGAGGAGAGACAGAGGAAGATCTTCCGTCCGATGATTCACTCCCCAAGTGAGCGCAACGGCCAATACTATGCCGGTCCGAAGCCAGGAGCCTCTTCCGGGTCTCCCACGCGGGTGCAGGGTCCCAAAGCTTTGGGTCATCCTCGACTGCCTTCCCAGGCCACAGGCAGGGAGCTGGAAGGGAAGCGGGGCTGCTGGGATAGAACCGGCGTCCATATGGAATCCCGGGCGTGCAAGGCGAGGACCTTAACCACTTGCGCCACCGCACCGGGCCCCTGGAGAGAATAAACTTTTAAGTAAAAACAGACAGATCTTACTGAGAAGTGACTCGGGTTATAAAGTTCAATTAAAGATGTTTGAAGTGGATATAGTTTGTTCCGTAAAGATGCTATCAAAAAGCTAACATCCCCATTAAGTAGATGAACTGCCAAATGACTGGGAACTGGTGAAGGCATTTTTTCTTTTTTGGGGGAAAGGGGGTGATAATATAATGTGCAGAGTTCCCATATGCCAGTAGTTTGAATTGTTCACTAACGCACTCATACATATCTTTATTATATTGTATTTACTGTTGTGAGATCAACATAAAACTTGATCAGAATTGGCTTTTGTGTCAAAATAATAAGGAGTAGGGTAGTTTTGTGACTTTATGAGCTTGAAGATAAATTCCAATTTTAAACATCTCTATAGTTGCAATAGCTGCTGGCCGAAAACTTGCCCATAGACTCTTCGAATGCAAAAAGGATTCCAAATTGGACTATGACAACATCCCCACTGTGGTCTTCAGCCACCCTCCCATTGGCACAGTGGGACTCACGGAAGGTAGGTATTTAAAGCTGAAGGCTGTTTAAAATTTTTTTAAGGGTTTTTTTTTTTTTGTTACATGTATTTATTTGAAGGGCAGAGAAAGATCTTCTATCTACTGGTTCATTTCCCAACTGGCCAGAACAGCCAGGGCTGGCCCAGGAGTCCAGAATGCCCATCAGACTCTCCCACTTTTGGTGGCAGGGACCCAAGCACCTGAGCCATTTGCTGCTGCCTCCTGGGGTGGGTATTCACAGACTAAGTGGGAACCAGAGGAGCTGGCATGTGCCCCAAGCACCCTGAGAGAACATGCAGGGACCCCAGGCGACATCTTACCCACTGTGCCAGGCACCCAGCCCTGAAGGGTGTGTATGTCCTCCTCCTCTGGGTCTCTGGCAGTGACTGAGTCTGCCTCAGGCCCTGAGTGGCACTCCATCTCAGGCTGTCTCCGAGCACCGGTCCAGGTTGTTTGCTAACTGCTGATATTCCAAGAGTGCCGACTGTTTCTCCAATACCACTGTCATCTCTTGATACTTTTTTTTAGCCTTTTATTTAAACGCATTTCAAACTCTGAAAAAGTTGTGAAAGTAGTGCTGAGGACTCCTGTATACCCCAAACACTTTTCCTTTATTGTTTTCCCACTCAGCATACACCCGTCACCTGCATGTGTGTTCTTGATCACATGTTGTCTAGCAGCTAGGCTGATCTCTTTGATAACCAGTGTGGCCTTGTCAATGAAAGCATTTCAGTTGTTACAACATTATCTGAACCTTATGCAGACCTTGCCAAATGTATTAAATAGTGTCATTGTTTTCAACATTTCCCTTCAAGTCCGGATTGTCTTCTAATTTACTGTACTACATTTAGTTTTCATGCTTTGTTGGTATCTCTTTAATTTAGAGACAAAATTCCATTTTTTCAGATTTATTTTTTAATTAATTTATTAAAGATTTATTAATTTTTATTGGAAAGTCAGATATACAGAAAAGAGAAGAGACAGAACGAAAGATTTTCCATCTGCTGGTTCACTCCCTAAGTGGTTGCAACAGCCAGAGCTGAGCTGATCCAAAGCCAGGAACCAGGAGCTTCTTCTGGGTCTCCTATGGGAGTACAGGACCCAAGACTTTGGGCCATCCACTACTGCTTTTCCAAGCCACAAGCAGGCACCCATGACATGAACTGGCATCCATTATGATATCCTGGCACATGCAAGGTGTGAATTTTAGCCACTACGTTACCACAGCAGGCTTTCTTTACTTATTTTAAAAGCAGAGTTACAAAGAGAAGAGGAAAGAACAAGATAGACAATAACCTTCTATTTCCTGGTTCACTCCCCAAATGGCCACAGTGGCTGGTTCTGGGCCGGCTGAAATGAAGAGCCAGGAGCTTCTTCCAGGGATCCAGGGCCTTGGGCCATCCTCAGCTGCTGTTCCAAGTACATTAGCAAGGAGCTGAATAAGAAGTGGGGCACTGGGACCAGCACATCAGGCTAATCCTCCACACTGCAGTGTCAACATTCCCATATGGGCACCCAGTCCTGTTCTGGCTACTCCACTTCTAATCAAGCTCTCTGCTTATGGCTGGGAAAGCAGTGGGAAATGGCTCAAGTCCTTGGGCTTCTATACTGACATTGGAGACCCAGAAGAAGCTCCTGGCTCCTTGCTTCAGATCAGCTCGGCTCTGGCCATTGTAGCTACTTGGGGAGTGAATCAGTGGATGGAAGATTTCTCAATCTTTACTTCTCTCTTTGTAAAATCTTTCAAAGAAAATAAATAAATCTTTTTTAAAAAAAAAGTGGAACACCCAGGACTAGAACTGGCACTCCTGTGATATGTTGGCATTGCAGGGGTAGGCTTAACATGCTGTACCACGATGCTGACCCCAACCCTTTTAATTAAATGACATAGGGATTTATTTTCTACAATATCTATCATTTGCATATCATCTGACATTTTCTTGTGATTTAATTCTGGTCGTCTTTGTTTCTAAGTATTTTTTTTGTTTTGTTTTGATGGATGCTTTTTAAAAAATTTATGTTTTAGACGAGGCCATTGCTAAATATGGAAAAGAAAATGTGAAGACCTATTCTACCTCCTTCACCCCGATGTATCACGCCGTCACCACCAGGAAAACAAAATGCGTGATGAAAATGGTTTGTGCCAACAAGGAGGAGAAGGTAGGTGGCTCTTCAGCCATGCTGTCAACATTGGCAGTGATGGTGGGGTGGGCAAGGAGGAGACCAAGCAGTTAAGGCTTCTCACCCCACTGTACACCAAATATTTTCCTTAAAAGAGTTTGTTTTTATGTGAAAGGCAGAGTTATAGAGAGAAGGAGAGATAGAGAGCTCTTCCATCCACAACAGTCAGAGTTGGGCTGGTCTGAAGCTGGGAGCCAGAACTGGGTTTCCCATGTGGATACGGGGGCACAGGAACTTGGACTATCCTCTGCTGCTTTTCTAGGCCTTTAGCAGGGAGCTGGGATAGAAACAGAGAACAGTTGAAGAAAACAGAAACAACCACCAAAAAAGTAAAAGCAGATTGGTTGTTTCTGAGTTACCTTCTTTGTAAGGCGTGACACAGAACATTAGGGAAATAATGGATTAAGTTCATAGTAAGTTATTTCGAACAACTTCTGTGTATAAGATGAAGTCAGTGGGAATTTATGTTATTATGCCAACTGAAATTATTCTGGAATGCTGAGAGGCAGAGACACAAAGATGTGGATAGTGAGATAGCTCCTGACTGCTGGTTCACCGCTCAGATGCTTGTAGTAGACCAAGGCTGGGCACAAGTCAAGAGCCAGAAATTCAGTCCAGATCTCCCACACAGATGGACAGAGCTCTGTTACTCCAGCCTTCCTCCCTGCCTCTTAGGGTCTGCTTTAGCAGGAAACTGGAGTCAGAGGCCAGAGCTCAAGCTAGAATGCAAACCTCGACTGTGCAAAATAGAATGTGGATGTTTTAAACACGAAACCAAATGGCTTCGTGTTCTCCTTAACCAGTGCTCAGTGTAACTGTTTAGATTGTTTCTTTGGCTTTGTTTTCTATTCTGCTACAAATCTTCATCTTATGTTTTCAGAGGCAGCTGGGCAAAAAGGGGCTGACCAGTCCCCACAGCTGCCTTCTCCAGCTTTGCTTTGCAGTGGAATGTCTACCCTTGGATGTACTTGTGGAAAACATGTCAGCGGTTTTTAGGATTGGTCAGGGAAACATTGCTGAAGAATGTAATTTGAAACAAACATCTGTTTGCCCTTAATGTGTGTAGGCCAGAGGCTGTGTGTAATAGGCACCGAACACCTCCTTGGTGCCAGTCTGCATGCTTGGTCCTGGCACTGGGGCAAGGAAAAGAAGCAGGAAAGGTCCCCTGTGCAAAAGGGAAATTGTCTGGCCTTCTACAAAGTGTTACATCACAGCTCGTCCAGAACCACAAAGGAGGGATGGCTGTACTGAGACCACACATGAGGGAGAATTTACCTTGGTTGGAAGACATAGGTGTGTGGCTGTCTGAGTAATAAACAGGCATTAATACAGAGACAGACAGCTTCTGAGCCAAGAAGGCTAGAGGCAGATGGCAAGGCAGGCCTCTGTGCAGGGCCACGGAGCTGTGTTAGGCCATATTTGAGATTCAATAGGTGAAGTTCTTAGGGCCTTTTACATAGCACATGTCTGTCACCACTGCCCACATAATGAGGACTGTCCCCTCTAGAACCACACCCCTTCTCTCACAGGTGGTTGGGATCCACATGCAAGGAATCGGGTGTGACGAGATGCTGCAGGGCTTCGCCGTTGCTGTCAAGATGGGAGCCACCAAGGCTGACTTCGACAACACGGTGGCCATCCATCCTACCTCTGCAGAGGAGCTGGTCACTCTGCGCTGAGCAGCCAGGCCAGCACACCTGCCCAAGTGAACCAAATCTTGCTGTTGACGGACTATCCTGGTTTCGTGTCTGTATTTTCTTTTTTAAATCAGGAGCTTCTGATAGTGGAATTTGGGGACATAGATCATAGAATTTGTCAATGTAATTAGAAATGTATTGTTTCATACAGGATTGGTTTTCATTCGATCATCTCACAATAATGAAGTTTCAAGTGTTTTGTTTTGTTTTGTTTTTAACAAAGAGCTCTGTGTTGGTTTGTTTTGTTTCAGCCTCATCCCAGGTATAAAAATTATGTGAAGTCAATTGAGTTAATGTACTAGAGTAATTATAACTTGCTAATTTTTCCAGAGGAAGATGACACCATTCGCTATGTAAGCAATGCAAGGGCACATAGAATCTTGATACAAGTTGGAAACCAGCACTATGTTCTGCGTATTTTCACAAGGCTGCTTCGAGAATGTGACCTTACCCTAAGAGCACACAGCTCGAGAACTGCCACATAATTCTCTCCTTTTGTTTTACATGACTTCCAGTGGATTGTGTAATTTTTAGGAGATGAAATGCATCAAACTTAGCAAAGATTTGAGGAGCTGATTCCAAAAAAAGGACATTTTAAGTGATTTCTGCTCCCAAAAGGTGGTGGATTCAAGATTCTAAAAAACTTTCCCTCTGCTGAGAGTTCAGAGTTCAGTGAACAATTTCAGTATTTTTATATATCTTTTTTATTTTGCTGAAAATGATTACAAATATTTGAAAATAAAACCACAGCCTTTCCTTCTTATGAAATGGGTTAGTACAAACTAAACTGGTACCAGTTTATTTTCTAAGAATAATCCTCTCAGGAGGATCAGATGCCCACATATGTTGGGGAGGAAAAAAAACATCTCTTAAAAATCAAGACCAGAGCTGGGAAAGAAGCACTTAGCAGATCAGTCATTGAGTGAAGGGAACAGACTAGAAATCTGCTAGGTTCTTAGCATTTTATTTTCCTTGGCCTTTAACAACAAGGTAGGCTGGTTAGAAATTTCTGTCATTTTCATTAGTGACACCATGCTACTGGATTCTTTCACTTAGCCTTTACAGAATTTCCAGTCTGTCATGGGCAGTTGCTATGCCAACTTCTGAGGTAGGCCCAGTGCCAATCAAAGAAAAGGAAAAAAATCTCACCTTAATAGCCAGGGAATAGGATCCCCAAACCGGGATATGGGCTGAGGCAGCCATTCTTTTCCCAAAAGGTAGTGGACCAAGGTTCTGGGTTCCACTGTCCTTACTCTGGCAGACCCCAAACCTGGGGAGTGCCATGTCAGGAAAAGGGAAGGTCTCTGCAAATCTCATTCATTCAACACATATGGTTGTATTTAGACACTGAAAAAAATTTTTTGAAAGGCAGAAAAAAAATGAGATATATCCCATAGGTGAGTCCATACCAGATATTTGCAAGAGGCAGGGCTGGGCCAAGGACCCTACTTTAGCCATCAGCTGCTATCTCCCAGGGTACCTGCTACCAGGAACCTGGAGCAGAGACCAGAAACAAATGCTCTAACACGAAACGTAGGCATCCCAAGTGTGGCTTGAGTGCTGTGCCGAATGCCTACCCCCACTGTATGATCTTGATCTTGTGTACCCTTTGCACTGCCTGACTCTATTGTCATGTGAAAGTAACCTCACCCACGTACCAGTCTACATTCTCATTGGTCAGATTGGCACTTTCGTTGAGTTTCTGTGGCCTAACAGCATAACTCAGAGAAATATAAAGCAAGATGAGGCAGCCCATTGTATGTTGTACATAAGCACATATAGCGCATGGTATATTATAGGTGTTCAGTTGGTATTTATTGAAGGAAAGACATGACTCTCCTATAGTCTAGAATGAGAGAAGAGCTTTCTATACAAATAAGGTGGTTAAGCACAGACTCGGTCATAATGGGGCATTTGCCAGAGTGAAATGAGCACTATTGGTAATTAAGACAGTAGACAGGTATAAATGTTTGTCTCAAACAAATGGGACATTGCTGACCTAGCTACACACTTGTAGGGAAGAAGGAGGTACAAACTCAGAGGAGATGGAAGTTCCCAGTAGTTGGGGAATCTTCAACAAGCAGCAGCGAGCCGGGTGTGAGTTCTGTGGAGGAGATCTGAGCAGCCAGAAAGCACAGTGAAGGCAGGATTGGACACATTACTGTTTTCTTATACAGCAGACTATCTGAAATAGTAGTGGGAGTTTCATGATATTGTGGGTCACATATAGGCTCAGCTTGGCGATTCTTTGGTTGCTGTCGAAAGGGATGGTCTGCCCAACTGCAGATGGGCTGATCCAGAGAGGTTGAAAGTCATTTACTTTTTTGTCTGAAAGGTAGAGTTACAGAAAAATGGAGAGACAGCAGGGCGGGGGGGATCTTCCATCTTCCAGTTCACCCCCTAAATGTCTCTGATGCTCAGGGCCTGGCCAAAGCCAGGAGCTTCTTCTTGGTCTCCCACATGGTTTCAGGGTTCCAAGCCCTTGGGCCATCATCTGCTATTTTCCCAGTCACATAAACAGGGGGCTTGATTGGGAGGAGCCAGGCATGAACCAGTGACCACATGAGATGTCAGTGCTGCAGGTGGCCTGTCACCCAGGACCAGCATGATAGAGTCATGGCCTTACATGGAAATTCAGAGCCCGCGAGGTTCTAAGAATCCCAGGCACATGCCACACCCTTATGATCTCACCTTGGAAGTTCTAGCTAGAACATTCCTTCTGTCCCATGATATTGGTGTAGGTCACTAAAGCCAGCTCAGATAGAAGAGAAAATGAATTCAACTTTACCTTTCAAGGAAAAGAACGTAAAGACTTTAAAGCTATCTTTAGCTGCCTATTCCTGGCAATCTGATTTTTCAAAACTTGGCTTACAACATCACTGCTGGGCCCAGCATGGTAAGCTAGCAGCCAAAGTCCTCACCTTCCATGCACCAGGATCCCATATGGGGATTTCCTCCTCTTTAGGGAGGGCCATCTGGTTTACTCAAAGTTCACCAAGTGAAATACTCATCCATCCAAAAACACCAAGGTAACATAAGATTAATTATTACAAGTATTGTCAGTGTGGCACCTTCACACATCCTAAATCACATTTGTTATTCAAGTAAAGAAAGTACAAGGTCATACTTTGACTGAACATGATACAGTTTCCTGCATACAGCTAAACTAAAGACAGACCCTTTCTCTAAAAGAGGATGATGCAAAGTTTGTGCTTAATGTTTACTCTTCTTCATATCCAATGATTGAAACTGATATAAAGTGATGATACCAAAATACTGTGCTTACAGTGGTAAGTAGGGAAGTGAAGGGAAAAGCAGATGATGCCTATGTCATGTGCACACACAGTCACAATAAGGAAATACGACGGAGGACAGAGTGCTTGTTTCTGTAGCTGGTCACAAAGCTGCAATTAGCCATCTTCTTCCACTACTCAGCTCACCTTGGTTCTTGATATGATATGGGGACCCACATATTCCTGAAAGCATCTGTGCCTTTAGTGGTCCTGCCTAAGCTCAGTTGGGGTTGTATACAGACTTTCTAACAGGGCATGGTTACACCAAGAAATACCATCGGGAATCTCCTAACTTCCAGACATACTCACCTTAACCTCCACTGTAGAATAACAGTTCAACTTCCTGTTGGCAGTCAGGGACAATCACCCCAGCCAACAGCATAGTCCCTGTTTTGTGTTTTGCCTATCATAGACATGAACAGCCCAAACCATCCAAGAGGGCAGCGGATCTTCCACTTTGGTGGAAGCATTGTTGGGATAAGTTGCCAACAACTGGAATCAAGACTTCAGGGTTCATAAAATTCAAGAACTCAGGAACAAGAAGTGTGAGTTCTGCCAGTGGGTCCCTTAGACTAGTACTGAGTGGTGCCACTCATTTCATCACATGGCTGTGATGGAACAGAACCATATTCTGGATGCCGATTCAGCGTATAAAGAAGTTCCTGGAGAAGCTTGCCCCACCCCTCCAATGTATTAGCAAGCACTGTCATCATTAAGTCTTCAAAAGGCAATCGCCCTTCTTTCTCGCAGAGCCTTTTCTTGCTGGATTGCTATCAAAGCCAGCAGCTTTTCAGTTCACATGATAAGTGAGCTGGAGTAATGCATTCAGATGGAGACTATTTCCTCCAAAGTTTTGTGGGTTTTTTTTTTTTTAAGATTTATGTATTTTCATTGGAAAGTCAGATATACTGAGATGAAGAGAGAGAGGAAGATCTCCCATCCATTGATTCACTTCGTGAGTGGCCGCAATAGCCGGAGTTGAGCTGATCTGGAGCAAGGAGCCTCTTCTGGTGTCTCACATAGGTACAAGGTCCCAAGGCTTTGGGCTGTCCTTGACTGCTTTCCCAGGCCACAAGCAGGAAACTGGATGGTAAGCAGGGCTGCGGGGATTAGAACCGGTGCCCACATGGGATCCTGGTGCCTGCAAGATGAGAACTTGAGCAGCTAGGCTACTGCAACCAGCCCCCATTTGCTGCATCTTTGAGCAGGAGCTCGTTCCTCAGAGCTGAGCGCATTCCACTACCCTTCCCCTGCACCGCAAAAGCAAACTGTCCTTGTGCCCAAGCATTTTGATTCTATTTCCTAGACCTGTCACAGCTGGACTTGTACTCTGGACCTTTGGGAAGCTGTTTCCTCTACTTGCTTCTGAACTCCTCAAAGACAGAAACTGGTCTTTGCTGCTTTGGTATGTGTTTGTTTATCCTCTCATTCAAGACAGAAGAGAGGATCCCTGAGTACTTGTGGAATTTATAAAAACAAGTATTCAAAGGCCAGTGATATGAGTGGCCGGGATTCAATGTCTCACTCCCAAGGTGCACATTAGCAGGATGGTGGAATTTGGAGAAGAGTTGGGACTCAAATCCTGGTACTTTGATATGAGATGTGGGCATCTCAAGTGATAAGCTAGATAAGCTAAACTCCTGCCCCAAAATGAACCTTTTTTTTTGACAGATTGGAGTAATTTTAAATAAGTATAATCTATATAGCTGGGTAGGTGCAGGGGTTCTGCATAAAGCAGGCATATATGTTCCTGGATTTGGCCTGCTCCAGGCTGGATTGTTGTGGGAGGTGACCCCAGGGGCACCTGCCACAAACAAAGCCTCCAGTATCACCAGTGAGCTGTAAAGGTTGAAGCCCTGACAGTATAAAGACTTCCTTGGGCACAGATTGCTTTAAAGGACATCACTTTCCAGATTCTCAAATCCCTCACATATTCTGAGCACACAGCTTGGCTTGAGATAGAAGACTCAGGTCTCCTGCCTCCTCCTC